ACCTAGTGGAGTCAATCAATTCGGTTTTGAAGAAAACCAGAAACCTGTCAATTTGCTCTATGGTCATGGCGACATACACCCGTTGCAACAAGTTCTTAATTGAAAGGGGTAGGGAAGTAGATGCAATGATTAATGCTGGATATGTGTACTCTGAGGTTGCAACTAAAGTAATTCAAGATACACAGTCAAAGGTGAACATTCATAGAGTCATCACCTTTGAGAGAACAAGTACTAGATTTTTAGTCGAAGAAATACAACATTCAAGATAAGTTCAACCTGTCGGGAGATTTACAGTACGGTTAGATGAAATGTAGTGTGATTGTGACAAGTTCTAAAAAGTTCACATCTCATACTCGCATGTACTTGCTTCATGCTTACACGCACACCACAACTTTGACATCTACATATCTCCCATGTATATCTTACAACAAATTTTTAAGGTTTATGAAGGTCAATTTGAAGAGCTCAGACACGAAGACTATTGGCCAACTTACACTGACCAAAATTTATGTCCAAATCCAGAACTGAAAAGAACTTCAAAGGGTTGACCCAAGTCCAGCAGGATAAGAACAGAGATGAACATTAGAGAATAACAAAATCGTGTAAAAAATTATTCTTATTGTTACACCCCTAGTCACACAAGGAAGACATGTCCAAACATTAGTCATGCATATAGTTTCGGTCATTGATTTCTTTTGTCGTAACGGGTTATAAAGAAAAAGGAAAACCTAACTTGAAAGGACGTTGCATTAATATATGTCATAGTTTTACTTCCCACGCTACCGCTCCTTGAATCACTTTTGCATATTATTAAAAATTCTCACGTTGCATTTAAAATGAAATAGTTATCCAAAATAATATTATCATATTAATATTTAAAATTTATAACACATATTTACATATTCAAAAAAATATATACCCTTATATTCTTTATTATTTTTATTCATTTGATATACAAATTTTATTTTTTTAAAAATCAAATACTTATTCAAAATAATATTATCATATTAATATTAAAATTCATAACACAAATTTAATAAAATATATGAACATAATATTCTTTATTATTTTACATAATATAAATATATAAATATTATTTCACATAAATTAACATAATATAAATATACATTTTCACATAATATAAAAATATAAATATGATTCAAATAATAAAACTTGTTTTATTTTTTAAAATTAACTAAATATTTATTAAATTTCACAATATATAAATATATAAACATAAAAAAATACATAAAAATTATTTTATTATATAAAAACAAAAAACCAAATTTCAAAAAGAAAAAATACTTAACCATAATTCGATTCCCAGAAACCGAATTTTGTCAGAAAAATTTTGGCTATTTGAGTAAAACACAAGTCAGAATTCGGTCCCTGAGACGCGAATTCTAAACCTGCACAAGGAACAGGTCTAGTTGGTAAATATATTGAGGCTGGGTGCATCTGTGTATATATTTATTTTTTTAATATTTTTCTGTAAAAAATTCACTATTTGCAATAGAGAATTCACACTTAATATGAAAAATGACATGAGAAAAACTACATCCTTTGAATTGATATCCATAAAAAAATGCTAAAAAGAAAAAATATTCAAGTCAAAATAATTTTTTTTTAAGTACTGAGTTAACATTTCAATAAATAATTTTTCTTCTTCTAAAATAAAAAATAATTAATATTTAGGAGTTAAATAAATATTTTTTAAAATTAAAATGAATATACACAATTAATTTTAGGTAGCTATTTTTTAACAGATATTGTGAAGTGCTAATACGTTTCCTATACCTAAATGACTACCAAACTCATTATTAGTTTCAAAGATCATATCATTTTAAAGTTTTTCCAAGATTTTCTCTAAATAAACTTTGGTGGTAACTCATTTGACTTTTTAAAAAATATTTTTATTTTTAAAAGATATTTTTCTTAAACACGTTATCACAACCCGGCAGTCGCAATGGTACAGTGAAAAATATTTTTAAAAATATCAGAGGAATCGCCACCAAAGTTTATTTTAAGAAAACCTTGAAAAAACTTTAAAATAATATGATATTTGAAATAAAAAATGAGTTCGGGAGTCATTTACGTGTAGGAAAGTTATTAGCACTCTACAACGTCCGTTTAAAAAATAGTTACCTTAATTAATTGTGCAAATTTATTTTAATTTTGAAAAAATATTTATTTAACCCCTAAACAATAATAATAATAATTATTATTATTATTATTATTTATTTTTTAAAAAGAAGATAATTATTTATTAAAATGTTAATAGATACCTTAAAAAATTATTTTTAAAAATTATTTTGACTTGACGGGTCTGATTCCCGCTCTTACGTATTCCTAGGTGCAATGGGGAACTCAAAGTCACGTAGTTCTATCTAAAAATTATGAAATTAGTTTATTATAATTAAGTTTAGTAAAAGAAAATTTATTTTGAAATTAAAATTATTTTTATAAAATTATAATATTTAGGATACAAGATAACACGGTTATACATGTACCCTACGAGAAATAATACAGAAAGTGAAGGAAGATCACATAACTATACTGCAAATCGTTAAAAATATTTTATTCGTAAATAAAGTATTTAAATTTTAATTTTGATTATGATTAATGTTGAAAAAGAATTTAAGATAGCGTAAGCTATACATTAATCTCTTATAATTTTTAGACAATCAAAGGCAATGTAAATCACACAACGATATTGCAAAAATTTGTATAATAAAATAAAAATAGAGAAATAATTGGTTATTTAATTTATCAAAATTAAAAATATGATTCAAGAAATTTTAAAATATGAAATTAATTTCATTTTAATAAAAAATAATAAATTTATTTGAATTGATTAAAGAAGATATTCATTTAATAAAAAGATTAAAAATTTCATTTGATAGATTTATATTATATAAAATCTAAGGTAACGTTGGTACACATAGATTTTTAACAATTTATAACGTATAAAGCTAGAGTCGCTATACATTAGCATTATAAATTATTTTGTTAGTAAAATAATTTAGATTTAAATTGATTGATTAGTAAAATAGTAATTATAGAGAAACACATTTTTGATTGATTATTAAGATAATTTTATAATTTATTAAAGATGACATATGATAAATTAATATTGCCTAAAGTTTTGGTAACGTAGGTACACGTAAACTTTGTCAATTTATAACATACAATGGTGGAGAAACTATATGCTAATGTTATAAATTAATGCAAATATTATGTTACATTATTTACTTATTAAATTAAAAATATTATTTATTTATCATCAAATATTTAAAATTATATAATACAATGAATGATAATAAAAATAAATACATAAATAAATAAACAAATTAAGATACAAACAATGAAATAGCAAAATAAATAAATAATATATATTAAGGTTAAGTCAATTATAATTATTCCTTATTATTATGCTAATTATGATTAAAAATAAAAAAATAATGAATAATAATAATAATAAATGAGGTAAATAAATAAATAAATAATAAAATAAAAAGAAGAAAAAAATTAAATAATAAAAATAAATAAATAGTAAAATACTGCATTTGAGATAAAATATATAAATATAAAGAATAAAAATCTTATTTTTTAAAGGAAAATAGTAATAGTAACTTGAACTAAAAATAATAATAAAAAATGTCCGATAATAATGATAGTAAGTAAATAACTGTACAAAATGTAGTCGGCCACCTTCAATTAATACTTTCTATTTTTTAACCTTTATTTAATTCTTGTTATTAAATCATTTAGGAAAAAAAAAAGCAACGTAAAGCAAATTAAATATGATTTGATGGGTGCAGGGTGTAAGGGATATGGCAATTGCGGTGAGATGATGCAGAGCATCGAGCCTCACATTCACTTTTCTTTTTGTAACGTCATGTTATAACTTTTAAACAAATAAATAAAATGAAGCTATTACATAACTGCATTGACCATCTCTTTATCTCACTTTTCGTATTCACACACAGCAAAAAATTAAGCTTTGTAGCAACAAGTAGATGTAAATCTTATGTTAAGAAGAGAAGTCAGTACCCGGCAATAAAAAGTAGAAGATAGCAAAATGGTTGATACGGTTTTTCTCTTCTTATCCTTCCTCTACTTTAGATCTTTCTCTTAAAAAAATTGCTCTCTTAATTTTTTTTATCTCTCTGAAAATTTATTTTTTCTTCTTAAAATTTTTTGCTTTCTCCCTCTCTAAAAAAGATGGTTCTCCTCTCCTTCTTCAGAAAAAAAACTCTCATTCTCATGTCCCTTCTTTCTAAATATTTTTTGCTTTCTTTCTTTAAAAAAAAGGAATTTCTCTTTCCCTCTTTTACTTGAGATTTTATGTTGAGTACATTTAGGATTTTTGCAAAATACCAAAGGTCCTGAGTTTTTTTCTTTTCTATGCTCCGAACTAGTTTTTAATTTTGGAGTATAAAGTTGTGTAATGCAGGCTGCTGTTTCCGGAAGCAAAGTTGTTTGTTTTTTAATATTTTTTATTTTGCTGTAAAACAATTTTATTTCATTAATTTTTTTTAAAAATTTTGGAAGTAATATCTGAGAGGTAAAATTGGTATTCACACACGTTTTTGTCATAATGTTGAGACCACCCAGTTGCAATAAGTCATCCCTACATTAACATCTCGGATACTTGAACATTTGAAATTGCAGGTAAAATTAAAATTTGCCCAGTCATAATTCACTTTCGTTATGACCAACCGGTATTGGTGTCTTGCAGATTAAGCTAAATATCATATTCAATTCTGTTTCAATAATAATAATTGCAAAATAGATTCAACAACTTGTAGATTTATTTCTACCACCAATTAAAGGAACAACATATTTGAACATTGCACCCAGAGAGCAGGAAACATTTAGAATATAATTGATAAATACAAACAAAGCACAACATGAGGATAAATTAACAAATGGAAAGAGAGTGCAATCTTAAACAACAAACCAAAGGCTGAGAACTAGCTAGACCAATAGCTCTATAGCTAGTATCGCAGTTGACGAAGAGCACTTGTCGTTTCCAAGTTTCTATACACAGCATTCCAACCTGCTTGAGTTGGGTGCAATAGATCCCAAAAGAAAGCCGATTTGGGATTAGCACAAACCGTATATTTCTTCACATTGTGCTCATCTACACTCCCACAAAAATATTGGCTACTTACACCAACGCAGCATGGCTTAAACTGGTCCTTAATGTGATTAGTAGAAGAGTGGTTCAACACTGACATGAAACTATCATAAAGGTCAAGAATTATAAAGGTGGAGTGATCCTTGGTTTGTTGGTTCAACTTGGTCACAGTTTGGTTCAATAGGTTGTTGTGGAGAAATACAAGGCTGTTAAATGTACTATTGCAATGCTGGAACGAGGATGAGGCTGTGGTTTGAGGAAGGCAACCAAGCGGTTGTAAACCATCCACAACAATTTTCTTTACTCCCAACCTTTGGATGCTAAGCAAATTAGTAGCAGTTTGATTAACCACTGAGGCAATGAAAGACGGGAAACCCTAAATACATTTCATCAGGAGAGTAAAAATCAGTAAGTAGATATGAATAAATAGAAGACTTTTGCGCAATAATAATTATGAGTGAATATATAGGAAAAGAATGTTAATGCATTGTTTTAAATAATGACTTGAATAGGGTTTTGTTTTCATAAATACTAAGTTTTTTTAAAAAATTTGTTTTGATATTTATTTATAAATTTTAAATTTTCTAATAATAGTCTTTATTATCATTTAATAGTAGCTTGACTTGCACTTTAAAGTTATACGTGATGTGCCATGTTAAAACTCAAGTTATATTATCAATAAAAAGTGATAAAATTTATTTTTAAAATATGTAAAAATTTATGATGGCTAAAATAAAAATTAAATTTAATATATTTATAGAAAGTGAAAAACATTTTATTTAATAACAAAATTGTGTGAAGTGAAAAATAGTATATTTAACTTGGATCACTTTAAAATTAGTCTCTACACATATAATAGATTATTCTAATTAATTTACCTCGATAGAGCCATTTGTGGCCAAGTAGTAACTGTAATCATTTCCTGCAACGGAGACAAGGGCCACAGAGTTGCTGAGATCTGAGGCAGTGAACACATTTTCTTCTATGAGCTGCTTGAAGAAATCAATCTGGATTGTCATATTTGGATTTGAAGATAATGTGTTAAAGACTCCAGTACCACCAAATGCAAAATTCATCCCATATTTCAAATGTTGCTTCATCACTTTCCTAAATTGGTAGGGGAGTGGCGATTTCAGTCCCAAATACTTAGCTGCAGCACATTTAGTTTTATAATTACTCAAGTGTTACAACATAAAGCAGTGCAGTAAGACACAAACAAAAGACGTTTCAAATAACAATTATGAAGTTATTATCTTTTTACAATTATAGTTTCATGGCAAACCATCTGGCATGGTTCATAAACAATTATAACTAAAGAAAAAAATTACAACTAAAACAATAATATTAAAAGTAGTGATATGCTAAGTTTCGTTATCATGGCAAAATATATATAGAGAGAGAGAGAGAGGAAAAACAGAGAATAAAACGAGATGTTGTAGAAAGGAGTGCATCCAAAAAAAATAATATATAATTTGTGAAAGTTATTTTATGAAATAAATAACTCTATTCAAAGTAAATTAATAAAATTTTATTTATAAAAATATATAATATTTTATATAATGTATTAAATTCCTTAATTCCCTAAAGATGAAATTAATTACCTTATAAATTAACTTAAAATTTCCACAAACTATTCATAGTAATAATAAAAACAAAACTCAAGAGTGTCAGGTGGGTCCAAATGTGAGAATGAACAAAGTAAAGAATGGGTAGCATTATTTCCAAGAGATCAAAACAAGATATCCTACCTATCATGTGAACTTTGTTTAGTATTCCAAAATTATAATTTTGTAACTGAAAATGTATAAGACACGTCTTTCTTTTTCTTTATTAAAAGCACGAAGCATGCAAGTGGAGAATGTAAAGTTTCAATGTGAAACGCAATTATATTAACAAACGTTGCTTAAATATAATTTAAACGCAATATTCAATATGTAGCTTTTGTTTTATCCAATGATGTGTAGCATTTAGCTTGCTTCGAACAACGTCACATGGATATCCAAAATCTTATATATAATAGCACAAGAATGGTAAAGTGGCAAGCCAGCAAAGAATTGAACCCCACCCTTTCTTAAACTATAATTAAAAAGGTAGCATTGTTGTGTTTATTTATTGGTTTCTTATGGTTATTGTATTGAAGATACATATTGAAAAAATTAATAAACATAAAAGTAGGTTAAAAATAATGGTGTGATTGATATATTGATAATATTTTTACATAAATTTTTTTATACCCTTAAACTTTAAGTCAATGCTCTTAAAATAATTATTAGTTTATTTTCTTTATTCATTAATTCTAATTTTTTATACTTAATTTTTACAATCATTATACTCTTGTACATATCTATTATTTTTTTCATTACATCATCCATTTTGTTTATTAATTTTTGCAGGAATTTTAAATATAAAATTAAATTTATTCTTTATTTCATTTTGCGTTTGTCATTACCCTATTTTTATTGTACACATCACAAAGAATGTAGTGGTGGACCCTACTCATTGAAAGAAACTGTTTGGGTTGTTTGAATTCTTACTTCGAATCCTCCATGGTTACACGGGTTTGAGTCTTTGAAACTCTTTCTTGTTGTTCAAAATACACCGTTTGAAACGGCATGAATTGGTGCTTTAGAATGCAAGATTGAACTGGGTCAGGTTTCTATATTTGTTAGACCTGTTTTGCAACTGATGAATTTTATTTTTTTTGTGTACTAAGTCCACTCGCGGGGCTGGGAGAGTGTCGAGTAGAGGATTTTGATATTAAATTTTTAATATTTTAGACAATTTTCATAATTTTTTTGGGCACTATAAATATTTTTTAATTAATTAACTTGTGCCTAAATTAATTAAATAATTATTATATTGATAGAATATGATCCAATTATTTGATATAATTGTGGTATAATTATGATTTCATACATAAGATACATATTTAAATTAATTTTGAATGCATGATTATTCTGTATAAATGTCATCCCACCTATCGTGAGACCATTTATACATGACTTGTGTAAATTATATAATTATGTATTGTATTAATAATAATTATATCCTATCGATATGTTGTTATTAATGTGATTTGAAAATATCATGCAATTGTGTTTTGCTTATGTCAATTTTGTACTGATACCTATCGATGTTAGTATTCCTGTGACATGAAGTTTTGTGCATCGTATTCCTTTTTTTTATTTATTGTGATTCAGGATCCTTAGTCGGGATTAAGAAATTTTTGTGATGGACATATTATTGTTGCACTTGAGCTAATTGTGCATATTAAATTTTATTTTTTCCCACATCAGTGTCTATACCCACTTCGGTGAAAACTTTGAAGTAAGTAAGTTTAGTGACAAACAAATTCTTTAGCAAAAATCTGTCGCAAAATAGTAAAAATTTAATAGTCTCTAGGCAAGAAACTTAAGAAATTTGATAAGATGGAAAAAGCTTACTATCTTTTATTATTCATAAAAATTAATTAGCAATTTTTTTTGTAGGATATTGTGTAGACTCGTGGGTTCTCATCGTGTATGTTTTTAACGCAATTATTCAATTACATATAATTGGAACTATATTGAAATGTTATGATGTGTATTATATATAATTACGTTATATTTAATTTTATATTTAAAATTCCTGCAATTTTTACATACACAAAGCATATGAATTCCTAAAACATAAAGAAAAGACAATTAAATAAGTTAGAAAAACATGAAACACTTACCAATATAGTCCGTTAGAACTCTACCGTCCGAGAATCTTCCAGCTGGTTTTCCAGGAAAAGTTATGCCATAAGGCTCTTTCCAGGAACCAAGTTGGTCTTTTCTTGTGTTTCCAGTGTCAACATATGAGTCGCCAAATACGAACAACTTTTTCCATTGTTCACGGCGCAAGCGAGCCTCAGCTTGCAACTGCATTTGTCCTGTAATACCACATAATATATTTTAGTTTTTTTTTCAATTTCGTGTATTGTTATAAAAGCTAATTTTACCTTAGCCATATAAGAATAGTGTAGCCTAAAAAGCTTTTTAATAAGTATTAAACACAATCACATGTTTAAGATTTAAAATTGAAACCACTTAATAAATCTATGAAGTTAATCTATGTTTGGTGGTTGAATACAAAGATAAATTAATATAATTTTAATAAAATTAATTTGAAATTGCAAAAAGTAATTAAGATTATTTTAAATCACATATTTTGTTATAACATGTAATTTTAATTAAAAAATAATTAACTTAATGTATATTTGAAACCTCGTGAAATGCACAGAAAATGCACTTGTACTTTAATGTTTTAAAAAGTGATCAGCGTGACATGAACATTTAATATGAAATCAACATGCAATCAGTAATTTAAAGCAAATGGGCATAACATTTGGGTTTTAGAATGACTAGCCAAGAAAAATCAATAAGTGATATCAAGAAGTTGCTTGCAGATGATCATAGATTCATTTATAATTATAATTGAGCAAAAGTGGCATCTTTATGGTACTCATAATCATACCTGAGAGAAGTAGAAGCACAAGGGGAAGACATAACAGGGGAAATAGTTGTTTGCGTGAGTCCATCATGGATAGCTATGGAATAAGCTTTTTGATGCACCCTTTTCAAGTGAAGTTAAAAGGAGAGAAAATCAATGATTATAAATAGTTTAATGGGAAAGGTTAAAGGTGAGAGAACTGAAGATATGATGCTGAATGTGGCTCTTTTATAGTGAAAGAAGAAAGACTTGGCCAAAGCTTGAAATTTGGATTGTGACACCAAAAAATAATTTAATAGTTTAATTAATACATAGAAGCGGTTTGATTTGTCGTTGGGCTGCGTGTAGTGAAAACACGGAGAGAGAGTGAAGACCCAAATCAAAAGTTGGCCCAGTCTATTTGCTACCACTTCATAATTACAGATCAAAACTAAAATATTCATTGTAATTACGTGTCAAAAATTAGAGTCTTTTGTAATTTTAAATACTCTTATGCTATTTTTATAAATATTTTTCAATTAAATCAGATGCATTAAAAAATTATTAAAAATATTTAATACATTAAAAGTTAGAAATTAATTATAATATTTTTAAATTTATTTTTAATTAAATTCAAATTTTATTATTATTATAATATACATAATAAATACTCTTAAAATTTTATAAAAGAATTATATTAAATATTAATAAAAATATTTAAAAATTCTTATAAAAAATAGAAAAAATTATCCATTTTGAACAATGGAAGTGTCAATAATAATGGGTCCAATGCTTGAAAATTGGGAAGTTGCCAAGCACGTCTTACGGCGTTTTTTATGACCATAGAAAGTTAGGATCTATTGAAATGATCTATATATTAAATTAATATTCGTGTGTGTGGCATGGCACTTTTTTTATTTATAAGCAATTGTCTCCACTAGCATATAAGCATGCCAACAATCATTGTGATGGATGCTTCAAAATGATAAAATAAGTGTATTAAAATTGTGTAATTAAAAAATAAAATTAAACAAATATATCAGTTATAATTTATTTAAAAATATTATAATTATGACTTATTAAATTAAAAGAAAAACTAATATAATTTTTTGATTCTCTTGAGACTTCAACTAACAAGAATATTTTAAAAATATTAAAAAATTCCTACACAGATATATTGAGTAAGTTTTACTCATTTGTATTTTAATTTAATCTAATGGTTGTTTGTTTAAGTTTCTTAATAAATTTAAAAATCATCAAAAAGGTTTAGTTTTAAAATATTTTAGTTAAAGTAGGTATTCATTATTTCATTACAAATGTAAATAGTGATTTTATTTAAAAAATAATATCAAATATTTTATATATCCTCAATTTCATATTTATTTATATAAATAGTTATATAAAAAATAATATGTATAACTCAAAGCATTCATTCTTACAACTACATTTTTATTCATAAACAATAAAATAACATACTATTTTTTATCTGATTATTAGTTGACTTTAAACACTTCAGACATAATAATAATAATATAAAACATTGCTTGTAAATATAATGTCATCTTTAGTAATAAATTTATCTGGAGTTATTAAATCGTAAGTAAATATAAATATAAATCTGTTAAAGATGTATAAATTACAGCTTTAACAGGAGATTAAAAACTGTAAATAAATACTGTAATTACTGCAGTAAGTTGCCTGAGATTGCAGATAATATGTCTGTAACACTTGAATTATTGAAAATAGATCAACTGCATGCAGGTAATTAATGACATTAACAACACTTTAAATTTTGTCAACAACAAAAATAATCTCAACTAATTATTTTTTTTTTTTTTAAGTTTTCTTCACTTCACCGTAAAATATATAAGTTGCTCTTCTTTATGAGGTTCTTCGTCTTCTGATTATGTATTGACTTGGGCAAATTTGAACAGAAGCCATCAAATGGTCAAAAAGGTCCTTCATTCTGTTCAATACAAATTGCTTATTGCTAAGTTGTATCTTGACCTGACATGATGACTCTTTCTACACCAAATTGCAATTTCTACTAAGTTATTTATTGTGACACTCTTCCACCATGTTGTTACTATTGATGAAGGGAAGAATTTCAATATTGTTAATCATGCCATTATTTGTCTATAGCCATTCATAGTAAATACAATTTCTAAGACTAGCCTGGTTGAAAAAACTCTCTATAAGGGCTTTGAAGAGAATTTGAAAGTGTGGAGAAGTTCATTTAAAATTTAGGAAGACACATTTTTAATTTAAATACACTGAAAGTCTGAAATTGCATTATTATTTATGAATAATTATATTAATAAAATTATTTTTTAAAATCAATTGATATAAAAATCATATAAATATATTTTAATTTATTGATAATATATATGATCATAATATCATATTATTAAGAATAACATTCTTACAAATATCACGATTAGAAATGTTACTTAGTAAATTTTAACCATATATTTAGTAAAATTTTAATATAAAAAAATTTAAATAATTAAAAGAAAAAGTAAAAAAAAAAAAAGAAGAAGAGAGAGCTATAGTTGAATTAGAAAATAATGTTCTATATTCTTATGTGAAACTTCTCATACTTTATCATGGATATAGAAACTAAGTAAAGCAAGGTAATATTTTTTTTTAAATAAAAAAAATACTTAATAATAATTTTTTAAGACTCATAATAAACATGGAAATAACATTTTTAAATTTACATCTCAAAAATAATTTTGTAACAATTGAAACAATATCTTTCTTTGGACATAAACTTCAAAAGAAAAATAAGAAATTTAGTCTATTCGTTTGCATTTTTATACTATTTTTCATTTAAAAAAGAAAATAATTAAAGAAAACAAATTTATAAATATAAATTAATGATTGAGTATTTATCATATGTTAATGATGATCACCCTTGATGGGTTAATTTCAGATTAAGAGGTTTTATTAAAGTAATAATTACAATTTATCAATTAAGGAGAATAAAAAATTAAAATTACTTTGTTTTTGTGAGAGACATAATGAAGATATCATATGATGAGTTGCAATTTCAATTATTTTTATGTTTTTTGTCGTCCGAAATAATTTATCCAACAACTTTAGCAGGCTACTGCTGTATGAAATATCTATTTTTTCTGGTCCATGAGATATGGTTTTTATAAGCTCTCTTAACAGTTTATTTTTCAGTGATACAAGACCATCCTAGGCCAGTCATTGGGCTTTCTTTGTTCACCATTTTGTATAAATTGGTGGCCAAACTAAATTGTTTCCGATGATTATTGATTACATTGTAGCCATGACAAGAAAAATGTTGAAGCAAGCTAGAGATTGGGGTGGGGGGGAGAAGCCCACAATAAACAACGCAAAAATACAAAAATTTTAAATAATGTACTGACCAAAAAAATAAAAAAGAATGTACTGACACAAAAAAGTCATTTTAGATGATAAGATATTATTATTATATATACTAAACAATTTAAGCACATGGACAAAAAAATGTAAAATATGTGCTTCGTTTATTGTTGTCATTGATTTTGAGTTCTAAAATAGTTTTGTGAAAATTCAAAAGGAGAGACAAAAGGTCGAGCCTGATAAAATTTGATAGAATTTATCATTACTAATTACTATTTAATGGTAGTAGTTGTTGGGGTGAGATCACTCTTTTTAAGTTTGGTAATAAGAGGTTTAGGGAATTGCAATAAAACAATGCGAGAATGTCATAAAAATTTTACTTTTATAAATAAAGTTAACTTGAATGAACTCTTAGAAACTCACGAGAAATAAAATATGCTTCAAAACTTAAAGAGTATTTATAGATATATTAATATAAATCGCCCATAACGTCTTCACGTCAAAGTCAATAACACAATTGGAATTTTGAAGTTTAAGTCAAACGGTAGAGACATTCAAAGTTTTTAACGTTGAATTATAAGATCAACGAATTCAAAGTATTAATTTGCGCTGAAATCCTACGGTCACTTGGATTTGCTGGTGATGCATGCATTGAGTTGCTGCGCTTTAATCCATGCATTTAGCAGTTTCATTGCTTAGTCCTAATTAGCCATTTTATTTAATCTACACAATTAGAAAAAAGTAACCATAAGTGTATAATGCTAGACCTAGAAGCCCTCCAAGCTTACTACTTTTAAAAAAAAGTCTTACATCATTCTTTCATAAATATTCTCTTTAAACTTCTTATAAAATGCAATTCAAGAGAGTGAGAGAGGGGAAAAAACTCATTTTCAACATATATGAAGGTAATTGTACAAAAAGGTGATGTGAAATAATTAGATTCTATTCTTTTTATCAAAGTCTCTAACGAAAAGTTCATACAACCATAATATAACTAGATATCTATCATACAAGCATAGTATAACTAGAAATCTATCCTATGTTTGTTACGCAAGAACTTAACTAAAATATGTGTTCTGATACAAAATCAAAAGAGTTTAAAAATAATTAAGTGGAAATTCAACCACTTTGAGTTGATGTATTATACTTCCACTCTTCTAAAAACGAGCAATTCACATGGAAATTGAAACCATAAATGCATACGTACATGAGATGCTTTTCAAAGATTTACCTCTGTAACCTTTCTCTCCCAGAGCAGAACCAAGGGTTGAAAAGCATATACAATCTCAAATTGAACCATTTTATGATCTATTGGTGAAAGGGTTAATCTTGATAACTAGGCCTGGGAAAACATCATCAGGGTCATGAATATGTGGGTTCTCTTCAACAATATAAGGGTCACCACATTTTTCACTAATTGTTTGAAGGGTCTCTCCCTCACGAACCACGTAAATCTCATCACAAGCCTTGTTGTTGTAATTGTTGACATTCTCCTCCAACATCTGAATTGTGAACTCACTTGTGTTTGACTCACAGCTACTTAACACCAGCATTAGTGCCACGAACAATGCACAATTCCATGAAATCTTCTCTGCCATTGCCGTTGATGAACACCCACAAGCCATATCTAAAATTTAAAAATTTATGTATTCACCCTTAATTGCTTTGTTAAGGTTTTCTTGAGAGTATTTTTTTTTTTTAAGAAAAAATCCCTCTCAAAATGACATTGTCATATCTTTGGTTTTAGATGAACATATATATATATATATATATATAGAGAGAGAGAGAGAGAGAGACATAGATAAAATGAGAGAAGTGCTCTTCTCAATGGCTGTTGGAGTGGGTACAGTTTTATGTGGGGGTTGAAATGGCTCATTCAGTAAAGTAGGTAACTGTCAAGTGAGCAAAGGGTATGACCTAAAATTTAAAATGGGAAAGAGTTGGTTTAACTGCTTTATTAAATGGGAATGGTCTTGGTTTTGACTTTGCTTGTTTTTAAGGGACAGCCTTTTTTCCTTTTCCCTTGTTGTGGATGTCACGAGTTTAAACTTGTACTGCCTATGTTTCCATGGAAGATTAAAGACTCATTCATGAATCATGACACATGAGGCAGCAAAATAAGCTGTGCCTCTTTGATTTAGGAGAATTTGGACTTTTAAGAGCATTACGGAATGTGTAACAAAAGGTTGATGAAGAAAGTCTTGCAGTGAATTGAAATTGAAGGCATGATTATTATTTGGTTGAACTAACCGAAATGGCTGATGAGGGATGGATCATCACCAATTATAATCATCCACCTGTCCTTCATGCTCCTAGCTGCATATAAATAATACCAACAATTCTCGACCATAATTGTACTTATAGACTTCAAAAGCCGAAAACTCCTAAAAGCAATGAATTATACCTACTCCGGAACAACATGTGGATTACATTATATAATTACTTTAAGTAAATTGTTTTAATTGAGTGATATATTGTACATGATCTACCTAAACGATACTCATCTTAAAATGCTTTAATATTTTTTTCTTATTAAGACGATAAAAGTCTTCCATTAGTGTATTAAGAATAAATTGTAAATTAATTATAAGCCTAAACTGTCAAAATCATTTTAAACAAACAAACAATTCAAGCTTATAGTCATATTCTTTCTCAATTTTGATTCAGACCTGCATTTAAATCTTACTATAATATCAGAATTAGTTTTTTAAAAAAATTGAAGAAAAAGGAATAGACTCAAGTAATAAAACAAACATGGGTTCAAACGCAAGTCTAATTAATTAAACTTCAGAGAGAATATTAAAATAATGAAAGTTTCATATGGGTAAGCTAGCAACAAATTATAAAGTATATAAGAAAATTAGGAGTCTAAAACTGTGGACCATTAAAATTTATACTTCATAATTTTTCTCAATCTTGAATTAAGCCTACTTTCAAATCTTAATATTTTTCCTCCCGTGAGTCTACATGAGTCATATAGAGCATGAATTGAAGATTAATCTCATATCCTAGTTATTTTTCATTTTTTTAATCTATCATTTATTAATTAATGTTAGTGGGTTACTGTATGGCTAATTTATTATCTTTTGGTTTCTGTTGATTTTAAATCTTGCATTAGTTCTAATTTGTAGAGTTTTGCTAAGTTGTGGATTATTGGTTTCCTGCGCTCACTTTCAAATTTTCATTTTAAGATTTATTTTACAGAGAAGTTAATTTCAAAATTGATATCTTCTGTAAGTTATCTATTAATTAAAAACTAATAGAGAATCCTATGCATAATAAGAATATATAAGCTTAAGATTTAAATATGCAATTGACTCTGACATGAAATCTACCAGTACAAGAAAACAAAAAGAGTGCAATATGAATTTCTTTGAAGGAGAGTCAAATCGCAGATAATTATAAATTAGCATGAGAGCAGTTTGCACGGTTGATGTTGATGCAATGCTAAGGCAGGGAACTAATTATGAAGATGACACCACTAAGGTGTTGAATCATTTTCTACAATACTTCAACAAACAATCAGGGACTTAATGGAAATTAAGGCCGAGCTTGGAGTAGTTAATGTTGGCCCATTAACAGAACAAAGGCAAGGTGTGTTGCTTGGAAAACACTTTTTTTTTTTTTGGCTCAACCGAAACAAGTAAATAAAGTAATTAAAAATTAACAATAATTATCATCATGTAATAATATATGTACAAATGTTGAAATCATGAAAATTTTTAATTATATGATCAAATAAATTTCATATCTTATAATTATTTTATGCTTGATTTTATTTTTAAAATAATTGAATCATCGTCTCGTTGTCTCTAAATGAGAGGATGTATTTGTTCACGCTCAAATAAGGTTTGAAATAATATAAATAAAAAAAGTAAAATACATAAATTTATATGAACTACTTATAATCTGCTTCAAATAAGGTAGTCCATTTATCCACTCTCAATTGTATATAGGTATCCTTACGCTGATTACATAAATTGTTTAATAACAAAATGAAAACCTGTTTGCTACATCGAAGTTATCGATAGAAAAAAGACATTGCACCCTTTGTTTTACTGCAACATACTTAGAGGCATTCCCATGACCGAACTAATAATGGAATTCTTTTGCCGATTTTACCAGCTTTTTTTTTTTTTTTTGGTACGTATGGCCAAGAATAAAATCCTTGTTAAAATATTTAAAGAAGTATCAGACTTAATTTGTTGATATTCACCAGATATTTTTGTTATGATGAGTTTGGTGACAATTTGTGAAAGGATTATAAAACTACCAACTATATCTTAGGACAAAAGCCACATTGGTTTCAATTTTGTGATACCCATCACTCAAATTGCAAAATCATTAATCTTGCATAGGTTAAGTTGAACTAAAACATTTCAACTCCCGTTATCATCGGGTCCAAGTTTTGGAGAATAGTATACCTTTAATAACCGTTAGCAAATAATAAATACCCTGGCATAATACTAACCACTTCAATGTCTACATTTATTTATTTTTCGTTTGTGTTTGGTAATATAATCTAATAAGTTTTTTAGAAGCTTATAATTTATTTTTATCTAATAAATTAATAGAACTATTTAGTGAATAAAAAATAAATGAAACTTTTTTATATAAGAAAAAGAAAATTAAAATTAAAAAATAGAGAACAAGGGATAGTCCAATTCACCATTACAAAGCGTAAAGTACATATAAAGATACACATTCCAGGTCAATTTATCTTGAGATAAAATGCAGTTTTGCTATTCAAACATCAAATAATAAATATTAACTTACATTTTTGCTCCTTAATGCACCTAATTAAGAAACTCTACATTTAAGCACATGAAACTTGAGTTTATTCATCTGTTTAATATTTTGATTTTATTTATATTCTGACCTTTCTTTTAATTTGCTCGCCTTCTAGCTTTGCAATCGCATTTCTTTGTGCGTGTGTACAAAATAGATCATTTTACATATTACTTGAAAGGGTATCATACAAGCAGTCAATTGCCTGACTGTACTCGGTTAATTCTTGAATAATATATCTGGAAATACATGTTGATTCCTACTATCCATGTACGAAACATCCACGAGAAAAATTGATGGCCACGTAGCCATATATACCTCCGTTTTCACGAGGTCTCAAGTCTGAACCCTAGTCTGCCATGGTATTAAAATTGCTGATGCGAAACAAAAATGAAACCAAAAACGACGATTCCTGTGGATATTGATACTCGAAAGCCCGCCTTTACAGGAAAAGTAATTACATCAATATTTGGGGATACTATTTGCATCAAAATTAGAAAGTCAATCATGTTACAAAATGACCCAGCCTACCCCACCAATGACTTTCATACAGTTATCAGTCCAAAAAATTATGATGTTGCTGAAGCCAATTCTCTTTTCTTTTTGGTTTTCTGGTGTTTGACAAACTCTGTAAGACGATTCATACGAATCCAGATTCCCTTGTCTGGTTTGCAAGGTTTCAAAATTCAGATCTTTGCTCGTGTTCTGCTAAATGGAATGCTAAGAAACAGCCTGAAAAAAAAAAAAAAAAAAAAAAACCATGATCGTCTTAAATCAATAAACAAGTACAAAATCTTTTGCTATCAAGTTTCACAAAAGTAGTAAATCACCTTATACGCGCATGAAAAAAAATATAGACGAATAACAAGTAACAAGAAGAAGACACGAAAATAACAAGTTTGACTAAGGTCGAACAACTGTCTTAGCACTAGGTCGAACAAGTTGGCCTGGAAAAGTAAGGCTTCAGCTTGTCATCTATGAATTTGGGGGATAGGAATAGCATAAACTAACATTACCAGTCAAAGTCCTACTTACATCATTATGAGAACAAGTCATGCAGATTTAAATGTTTATCAGGATCAGTGGATCACTGCTCAACATGATTGGTTTTACACTTCGACAAAGTTAATCGAAAGTGAAAGTGTGAAGCCCCTCCCTTAAAGCATCATATTTGTAGGTCTGTAATTCATGTTGCCTGACGAATAGCAGATATTTATGGTACATATTGCAAACAGGAATACCAGTTTGATTTATTACAAAATTAAACTACCTTTGCCATAGTGGTTTCTCCATTGCTTTGTAAAGCATAAATAAAGCATTCATTCTATGAGGTTTTTGGGTTTGGAGAGCCAATGACATTCAAAGGTGTCTTCGCTTGACTACCCTTTGCACTACCAGATGCCTGGCCAGCCAAGCCCTTAGCATGCGCTGCCTCAGTTGCTGCCATTGATTTCTTTATCTGCAAACCAAGATAAACAATAAATGAAATCACAACAATCATTGCCATCACTATAATAATAACAAAAAATAGAACTACATGTTTACTGAACATAGGTTAAGGAAATAAAGAACACAAGAATAGGTATAGCAAGGGTACCACAAGAAGTCTACCAGCATGTCTTCATGCTGGCAGAAAAATGTAATCACAAGAAGCACCTCACAAGTACAATATAGCTACCAGAATAAGAAGAGAAAGAGAAACCAAAACTTACAGCTGCCAGACGCTCCTTGTGAATATCGCTTGCAAGCTGCAAAACCATCACAAATTACAAGCCAATAATATGAAATTCAAAATATAAACCAATCAATAAAAGCCTAAACATAAAGATGCAACAAAGATTACGATAGTGCTTACATGTCTTCTGTAGCTTTTAATCTCATCACCACCAAATCCAGGAAGTGTCATATTCCAATTTTTCTCTATAAAAACGTAGAACTGACTTAAGCATGAAATGTTTTGATGATAAAATTCGAGCACAGAATTTTTTCAGTAACTAACCAAGATGTAGAAGTATGTCCTTCGCTTCCAAAGTTGTTGATTTCCGATGTTTGGCTAGTGAACAACCAGACCTTGTTATCTATTTAACGATAGACAAAAGAATGGCCATTATTGAAAAAAATATATTATGAGTATATAAAAATAAATAAATCATGATAAGGAGATTATCTGGAAAAAAAGACCAAGAGCAATTGTGAGCTTAGTTCATTTCTATGCATATTAATCACCAAAAAAAAAAGAAAACCGATCATAGGAAAGAGGAAATCATAAAACAAGTCAACATCAATTATTTGGGGCTTAAATTAACAGAAAAACAATGTATAATGCCCAATGTACAAGCAGTGGAAAAAGAATGTATAACAATCAGAAAGATGGTAGAAGAAGAGCTCTAAAAATGTGTTTTCTACTTTCAGATTAGAAGATAAGCTAAACAAAAGTGCATTTGTCAAAAAACAAAATAAACCATAAAGGCATTAGACAACTTTGAGAAAGATTATGCTTAGAAATCATTAAGTACAGTAACTTAGTCAAAATGATAAATGAGATAGTAAGAAACAACTTTGAGAAAGATAGAAGAAAATAAATCAAAACAAAATAAAAGATAAATCCAACAATTTTTATCAAGTTTCGAAAAGGTGAATAATCCCATCAGTCTGGTGAAAACAATAAAACCAAGGGAAAATACTCACAGACTCTAGAAAATTTTCTGCAATATCCACAAGAATGTCTGCAACTTCAGGATCCAACTTCTCCAGTGGATCAACCTGCCAACAAAGCAGAAATGTAAATATATGACAAAAAACAAAAAGTAGTTCATGAAAATAGGGCTATTACAAGCTCACAGAATCATAGTAAAATTATTAACTTTGAAACACCTTATGCCACATTGCATTCCATAACCAGAGTCAAATTGTAACTCATCCCTGAGTTATAAATGAAAGTGGATCTGTATTGTTGCACAACAAAGTGTTTTAAGGAAACATCCATTGAGCAACAGAGGGAAAAGGCAACTGTAAGTAGTTGAATAGTTCTGGGTAAACATATATCATAACCACAAACTACAACCAAAATAGAATCAATACATAGCTAGCTAGCACACACATATATACTGTCATGTTTTTAACCAGCTATATTTTGGGAAAGCTATTGGTTCTTTCTTTAGAAAGCTTTCAATTTCAGGAAATTGCAAAAAAAAAAAAAAAAAAGATAATTTTCTCAAAATAATCTAATCAAAGAGACTAGTTTAGTTCAGTGAGTTCAAAAAGATCAACCAACATATTAATACAAATCCAGCAATCCAAACCATTGAGTTATTTGTTGCCAGAAATTGTTACTCATTTACTGTTGTAACTTTTTCTAATGCGTCTCAAACACTTAATTACTTATATTAAAAGCATTTACTGAAAACATCCATTAATTTTAAAAAAAAATACAATATTTCAGTGGTGAGAGAAAAAGGTGTGATTTTTAGTCTGATGAAAAGGGGTAGAAAGAAATCCAGAGTAAATTATTAAAAGAGACATTTTAATTAATTATATTTCTGAAAATTTGATTCTTAAGCAAGCCCATTTTAGTCCAATGAAAAGGGGTAGAAAGAAACCCAGAATAAGTTATTAAAAAAGACTTTTTAATTATTTATATTTATAAAAATTTGATTTTTAAGCGAGCCCAATAGCGTCATGTGATTCATGTAGCCAATAATAAGATATGGCTCAGTCATTGTTGTTGAGAGAAAATGTGTAAGAGTAGGGGTAGCAATACTCTATTACTAGTAGGTTCAAATTCAAATTGCTAGGAAAAATCCTAGAAGCCCAATTAGCCCAAAAGAATGTACATGCTTATAACATAATCTTTCTTATCTAGTTATCATATTCATTCTATTACACAAAATTGTGGATAAAAACTACCAAGCATTAACCATAAAAAATTTAGAAATGTGAGCAAAAAATCTTTGACAATTTATTATATTAAATTTAAATATAAATTTTAGTAGAACGCCACATAAGTTTATTTTTAATTTAAAAAGAAAATTTTGTCTGGTTTGACCTTCATTTTCGATGGGTAAAAAAAAACATAGTACAGAAAGAGAATTGTATTAACAAAATGGTCATTTACTAAGAACATAGAACCTACGTAAAGTAAAAGCTACATTAATAGCTAAATATTATTATGGACTCAAGCCTAAACGGTGCCAATTCCAAATAAAACTTCTACGACACACTACAACCCTAAAAGCTAGCCAAAGTTATCTTAGTAGCTTTAAGTGTTTATAAGCAACCATCTAATTTCATACATGTCTAATATGGGACCTGATATCACAAAATTCTATGAATGGACCTTTAGGAAAAACCATGGAATTCTTTTGAATTTCAACAGGTCACTTAGAATGGAACTAATCAAAATGATTAATGCAAGCCCTCTATATATTAAATTAACTTTCTTTCATAATAAATTAGGAAGTCCCTTTAAGAGACACACAGTAATCCTACTTGAACTACAAAATCTAGGGAATTCCAAACATGTTTATTTAACAATAGATGCCAGTAATTAGAAATAAAATAAAATATAAGAAAATCTACTATGGAACACAAGAAATTAGTGTAGCTCACCTGATTGACTAGCTCATGGATACTTCTCTTGCTGAGAATACTATTACAAGATTCATCAGTATCTACATTTGGTAATCTATTTTGAATCCCTAGTTGAACTGCATTAGATTGTGTTGCCACAAAAGTTGAAGGTTTCTGATTTCCGGCCACTTGTAGCCTTGTAGGCTGTTGCTGATGAGGCACATGCAGAGCCCTGGATGGCAGAACCTGTTGCCCAAAATGCTCCTGCGATTGATTAGATGGCAAAGGTTGCTGCTGATGTGAAGTTGTTGGTGCAGATTGCTGCTGTGGAGGAATATGCGACCTTTGCTGCAAGGATTGTGGGTTCAACTGCTGCCTATAACCCGGGGAAGGCAAAGGAGGCTTCCCTTGTGGCCCAGATGACAACCATGGCTGATTAAGTGATTGCATACTTTGTGATGCACTCTGAGATGGAGTAGCAGGCGATCCAACTGATGAGGGTCTCATAACTCCATGCCCTTGGAAGCCCTGAAGAAAATGTAACAAATTATTACGAAATCACCAGCAATTTCCCCCCCTACAAATACATAAGTTTGTAAACAAAACACAAGCATTACAGCATAACAACGTAGAATACGAAAATAAGAAATGCTGGGAATATCTACAATTTCAACTTACAAATCACAATAATACAATATGGATCATAAGCTTATAAAAGGGAATAAAACTTAAACTCATCTATTCTTCACCAACCCTAAACTAGGGAGAACCTCTTTCCACAACACAGAACCAAAAGCTGCCATCTCGAAAGTGAAAAACACACTCAAGGCTCCCATATAAAAGTTGATCTACACTTCAGTCATCTCAACCAAATGAATTTTGATTTTATAGTATCATTCGGAAGCCAAGAGAGTAGAACTCAAAACACCAACTTCAACCCTAACTATATTTTCAAACACAACAAACTCAAGTTCCAATGCCACAAGCCCTCTAACTAGGCCAAGCAGAAAACCCTAATATCCAAATTGAAAAGCACACAAGCAGTCATAACAACATTAACACTAACTTGTGAACCAGCAGGTTGATTATTTTGGGCAGCGGATGAAGGTCTAAGAGATGATTCCACTGGTCTCTGTTGATGTGCAGGGATTCCACTTGGCCGCATTTGAGACCCTAGCATACCCATTCCTTGCATTGGTGCTCTCACCTGAACATTACAAAAAATGAAACAGAGTAAACTAAGAGTGTAGTTACATTCATTCGAAACAATGAAAGATCCCAATTGCAAAGCCTTACCTGGGAAGTGCTAGAATTGGAGGAGGTAGATTCCGTTACGTTGACTCCGCTTCGACCCAACCCGCCAAAATGTTGACCGAAAGAAGAGGAAAACGGAGGGGAGGGATTTTGGTGGTGCGCGGGTACACCAATTGCCATGCCTCCCCTCGGCGCCGCGGCTGCACCGGGAATCGGCGCTGAAGATGATGGAGGAGCGGAAGAAGGTGGGAGCGACGAGAAGTGTTGGAAATGAGACTGCGGTGGATGTGGCTGCGGCTGCGGCTGCGACTGCGACTGCGACTGCGACTGCGGCGGCGGCAAATTTCGGTTGAATGAAGCTGGAGGGCGAGGTTGGGGAGGTGTTGGAGTGGGGGGTTTGGGGCTTGGGTTTTGAATCGGGCTTGGGCTTGGGTTCGGGCTAGGGCTAGGATTAGGATTAGTGTTAGGGTTTGGGGCTGAGATGGGAGGGGTTGATGATGAGGAGGGTGGAGGGAGAGAAGGTGAAGGTTGTGGTGGTGGTTGAGGTTGTGAGGGTTCCGCGGCGCTCCGAGCGGTGATGCCGGTGGCCGGAGTTTGAGGATCCATTGAGTTGCGCTACTTGTGACTTGTGAGAATAATGTGATTGAAAACTTGAAACGGAGCAATGTAACTACTCACTGTACATGGCCTATTTTGTCGATTATTATAACTGTTTTTTCTTCTGTGGCTCTGCGTATGTTAAGGTACCTGAGGAATTTACTGGGAACTCTATGCTTAATCTATAGGCTTTTTTATTTAATTAATACATATTTAAAAATAAATTTTTAAAATATATTTATTTTTAAACTAATTTTCTGTTTGAATTTTTTTTTACATCAGCAGTAATATTTGCCATACACCAATGATAGTATTTTTTTATAATTTTTTATTACTCTATTGACTATATACGTCCAATACTAATCCATCATCTGACATATAGATTTTTAAAATGGCAGAAAAAATAAAAAATAAAAATATTAGTTTTAAATATAAAAGAACGATAGACATTATTTTAATATTTTTTTATAGTCTATTGGTCATCGTTGGGCGATACTAGTCAAACTTTTGACATGTGGCAAGCAGGCGAGAGTATCGAACGTTTTGCGACGATAGCACTATCGGTAGTCAATATGCCTCATGTTTATCGCTTTGACTTGGACGATATTGCTCCTCTCTTAACATATGGCACAAGGCATCCTTTTATCTGTTAATTTCTTACTGTATATTACCCAATTTTACTTGGTATATATACATGGAGGAGATTCCGAAAATACAGTTTGGATTGGAGGAGCGAAAGAACATTTGAGGTTAGTATATGTTATTATTAATTTTATATTTTTGTATTAATAGTGTAGAAATTTAGTATAAAATTTAAAATAATTTTTTTTTTATTAAAAATTAGTAAAATAAACGAAGGATTTAAATAAATTTAGTATAATATATATGTAGATTTGTTGATAAGTATGTATTTATAATTTATTATAATTGATTTATAGAAGAAAATTAGAAAAAATTTGTGATAATCATGTAAAGTAAAAATTTTGTAATAATGAGTCTACTGCATTGTAAATGTAGTTATTGTTGTAGTTGTTAATTAAATAAATAAATAGTAATTTCTTATTTAATAAGATTTCAGAAGAATAAGTGTTGAAATGATGTATATTAGGATGCACAAGTAAGTAATAAGTTATGTAACAAATAAATATGGATGTTTTGAAAATTTAAAAATATTATTAATATAATAAAATGAAGCATAATAATTTATTAAATTATTGAAAAATGTGTGAAATGTTGTAATTATAATTGAAATATGAATGGGGTTATTTGTTATTAACAATTAAATAAATAAATGTGTTCTAATTGAGTAGTATAATTTGTTGATGGAAGATGACTGATTTTGTGATAATTGTATATTGGAACGGTCGAATATTTTCAAGTAATGAAGGTGTTACGTTTGAAGGAAATAATAAAATGATAAAGATTGCACATTGAATAAGTTTGGAGACATTGAAATGAAAAATCCATGCAAAACTGAAATTGTCTACTAGTCAGGTTATATCTAGATTGATTTCACGATTTTTAGTAGACCTGATTATTAGACAATACACAATTATGGATATATGTGATAATGAAGATATTGATTAGAGCCGGCAAAATGGGATGGCCCGATGGATTGGGCCCAAAAAAACCCGTTAGATGGGCGAGTTTGAGCTCTTAAAAATAAGGCTCGAAATTACCTTGGGCCATTTTGGCCCGGTCCAAATAAGCCCAGTACCCGATAGGGCTTTAACTGGATTGGCCCATGTGGGTCCGGACAGCCCGTATATATATATATATATATATATATATATATATATATATATATATATATATATATATATATATATATATATATATATATATATTGAGATTAAATCTTGAGTTTTAAGGAGTTTGAAAGGGAATATATTTTAGTTTCAAAACCCTAAAATTACAAGTCTAAATTATATACTTTTTCACCGCTACAAAAATAATAAAAAAAATAAACCAATGGCCTTTTACAACTTAAAAAAAAAACAAATAAATAGTATAATACAAAAATTGGACATAAAAAATGAGTGTTCTATTAAGTTCTTACAAAAATAGTTTAACATGGTATGTTACAAACACTAAAAATAGCAATAAAAATAATGATTTGTTGTTATAAAAACAGTAAAAAAATGACATGTTACAAAAATAAGAAAAAGAAAAAAAAATATTTGAATTGTTGGGCTAGTCCACATAAGCCCGTAGCCTGCATAGAATAAGGCTTGGGCAATAAAAATATAAGCTCATTTTCATCTTTGACTAATTAAGCCCGACCCGTTTGAGCCCGCTACCCGTATCGGGCCGGACTGCCTGTTTTGACAGCTCTAATATTGATTGCATGTTAAGTGCTTTTCTTCAACAAAATTAGCGAAGTGCAATTGAAGTATATGCAGATATTGCGTCTAGTGAGAGTTCTTGTATTCAGTCACAAGGTGTGGACCTAAATTTATCAAGTTCACGTGATAACATGTCTGAGGCAGATGAACCCCTATTTTTATCAGGTGTAGTAATTTTATATTTTTCGATGAAAATATATCAAGTTAATTTCATTGTAAGTATGTTTACCTAACAATAACTTTCATGGTTGTGTAGAATGTGAATATGAGAATGAAGATGATGATGACAATGAAATTGAATGTGGGGATCTTGAAGAAACTTCATCTGAATCTGATATGGAGGGTGGAATTCATAGTAGCTTGAATATAAGTAATAATGCTAGAGTCGAAGGTATTAAGTACATTAAGCTGTTATAAAATACGTTTCAATAATAATGTAAAATAAATCGATTATGTTGTAATGTGCAGGGTTGGTTGAAACTCCTTTTTGGAATTCTAGTCCACATTATACCTATATTAACTAGCAACATGCTAATGATGAATTGGAAAATATAGATGTTGATCCTGATCAAGCATGAAGGGAGGGTGATGCATTATTTGTTGGGCAAATATTTGAGTGTAAAGAATATGTTAACATGGCTCTAAAAAGTTTTGCATTGAAAACACATCAAAGTTATATTGTGGTGGAATCAAAACCAACAAAATTTCATGTGAAATGCCCAAATCATAGTACAGGATGTCCTTAGAGGGTTAGAGCAAATTTGGGCAAAAATCTTAACAAGTAAAAAATCACAAGGTGTGGTGGACCACATACGTGTGTTCATGCAATGATGTCTCTTGACCACAAAAAATTGGATTCAAACTTCATTTGCAGTTGCGTTCTTGGTAAGTTGCACTAATTTTATTACAATACGTTTAATGGTTCTATATATTACTAAAGAAGATTATATATAATTATATTGTTATTTGTAGGTATGGTAAAAGAACAACCATCGGTGCCAATCACATTAATCCAAGAAAAAATTAGTGGTCAATTTGGCTATCAAGTTTCTTACAAGAAAACATGGAAGGCAAAACAAAAAGCTATAGTAAAAGTTTTTGGTGATTGGGATGAATCGTATGCCACATTGCCAAGATGGTTAGAGTACATGCAATTACATTTATATGGGTCAGTATACAAAATTGAAACTAATGACTATGTGAGGGGTCACCAAGTGGATAACAGATATAGAGTGTTTCATCGATTATTTTGGTCATTCAAACAATGCATCACTGCTTTCAACTTTTACAAACCCTTAATACAAGTAGATGGTACTTTCTTGTATGGTAAATACCATCAAACTTTACTGATTGCTACCGCACAAGATGGAAATAACTGTGTCCTTCCAATTGCCTTTGCCATTGTGGAAGGGAAAACTTTGTCAGCATGAGAATGATTTTTGGCTTTGATCCGTCTTCATGTCACTGAAAGGGCAGGTATTTGTTTGATCTCTGATAGACATCAAAGGATTAAAAGTGAAATTTCTAATCCACATCTTGGGTGGCTACCACCGAACGCATATCACGTGTATTACATTCGTCACATAGCAAGCAATTTTAATCAGCGATTCAAGAATGCAGGCTTGAAGAAAGAGTTAATCAAATTAGGTACGAATGTTGCTTTGGCTTAACTCCAAATATTATTCAGTTATCACGTATTGATTTATTGTCATATTATTCATTTCTTCTTATAGGATATGAAACATGCAAGCAAATATTTGAAAAAAAAATTGAACAGTTTTGTAATGAGTCACAGGACATTAGAAGTTGGATTAATTGGATCTCCAAAGAAAAATGGTCTTTGGCTTATGATCAGGAAGGAAGACGTTATGGGCATATGACTACCAATTTATCTGAAGCTGTGCATAAAATTTTAAAAGGTGCACGAAATTTGCCAGTAACAACATTGGTCAAATATACATATGCACGGTTAGTAGAGTATTTTGTGAAACGTGGTGAGGAAGCAACAACAAAGCTTAATAATGGTAGTAGATATTATCGTAAGTTAATGCAGCAAATGGAGAAAAATCAGTAGGAAGCTTCTTCACATCAAGTTAGACGATATGACACACAAAGAACAAGGTTTGAAGTAGAAGAGGCTTTTAATCCTATCACGCAACGCGGTGGTAACAAGTGGACTGTGATTTTATCCAATAGATTTTGTGAATACGGAAAGTTTTAGGCGTATCACTACCCATGCTCACATGTCATAGCTGCTTGTGCATCTGTGAGTATTGATTATTGGCAATGGGTTGATCCTGTTTATTTTGTCCAATCAGTTGTTAATGCATACTGATCTGACTGGTGGCCACTTGGAAATGACAACAATATTTTAACATCAAATGAATGGAAGTTAGTACCATACGAGCAAAGATCAAGGGGAAGAGGTCGACCAAAATCAACCCGTACTAGGAATAAAATGGATTGGGTGGAGTCTCAACAACGTCAACGATGTCGTTTATGTAAACAGACTGGTCACAACCAACGCCATTGTCCTAAGCATAATGAACCTATATGACACTTTTTAAGTATTGTTAATGCATTACTATTATTTTAGTCTTTTGTTACGTTTTTAGTTTAAGTATTGTAACATTTTTTAAGTATTGTTAATGGTATTAGTCTTTTGTTACGTTTTGGTCACAAGATGGGAATACGAACGAACATGGACATATTAATAAAGTTTCATCAAAGCATCGGATAGTCATAATACATAATAACCAAAGATATAAATAGAATGCTAATGTCACTCATGTCTACCGTGGAAGTCATGGTCCTCATGTGGTGTGAGGATAAAATTACGAGGTCGATCTCTGGCTTCCCTATGAGGGTTATGTCTAACATCATGCTAGGTAGGATCTCTAACTGCTCTAAATTGGGCATTTAGATCAATGCCTTGATCCCCTAAGGATAGTGTAGAAGGCTCTCCTAGTGACCCAGTAACTGGACCTGGAGCGGAGGGTGTGAATAGTAACAGATCATACGAAGGCGAGGTCATAAAATGATGAAAGTCGGGAACATAGTCTTCTGCAGTACTTAACAGAGATGTAGAATGTGTGGTAGGTTGTGATGAGTGAAAGTATGAAGCATGTGTAGACTGAGATAGAATGGAAGGCATCTGTGAGGGGACAAAATACACACCATGGCAAAGGCTCAGGCTGTCCAAGATCAACATGTGGCTCCTCAGAGTGTCCACTTTGGACAGATGGGTCAACTCCTTGTGACGGTTCTAAGATCCGAGCCTGTTCACTCTGTAAAGACAACATAGTCTCAACTAATGATCGCAGCTCATCAAAAGTAAATGATTGTTGGTTATCAGTAGCCAAGTAGTATGTCCTCTCATGTGTATCTCCCTACACAAACATAATATTATGCTTGGTTTACAAAATACAGGATAATTATTATGAGGAAGTTAGGTGAATATACATACCATTAATGAAAATACAGTTGCATCTCTCATCATCTAACGTCTAGTATGACGAGAATACCATCGCATGTACTCTGAATTAGAACCCAATAAGCCAATCTGTGGGTCATTGCTGAAAACTCAATCCAAGCGCCTCTCCCATAATGCTAAGACATACCTGAACTTATCATTCCAATTCTCTCCAGTCTTACCTCTGAGTGTGATGTCATGTAATGCATCAGGTTGATAAGGATCTCGAGGAATGTATTGGACCATCCCAAACTGACGCATTACACAATCTGGTTGGTGCCACTCACAAATCTGTATGCAAATAAGGGGCACTACTGACCTCCAAATAATCATCCCTTCTAAGCAAGTTGGAGGCAATGTAGAAAGTAACTGTTGACTATAAGGCTGCCATACGATCTGCAAATTGAATAACGTTTAAAATTAAAAAATATTCTTAAAATAACAAATTCAACAAATAATGTTTTAAATTAAAATTAAAAGTCATACATCATCACGCATAAGACGGTCAAGTTTATATCTATAAAATGCAACATCTTTCTTCCCTCTTCTAGGCACCCCATTTACTAACCACCTAAACACCCCTAAAATTTATAACGTATAAATATACTCCAAAGTATTAATTTTTATAAAAATTGATTACAGAACTTATGATATAGTATGCATACCTGGCACCATAAGGAAGGTCATGTTGTAAATGTGGAGGATAAGGGGGAGCCAAACATGGGAACCTATCCCACGCCCACATAATCAGCAATGGAGTCAAACCTCCAATGGCAAGTCTATCAATGTTTGTTGCCATGCATAACTCTCTGTACAAAAAACTGATAGCTGCTTCTCCCCAGCTATACTGCCTTGTGATGGCAAAATCCTGAAGCAATGGCAAGTAACGAACTGTCACCCTGCTGCTAGAGTAATCTGCTAGCATAAACCCTTCAATGAGTCTAAGAATATAGGCTCTACCAAATCTCGTAAGCTGAAGCTTGTCATGATTTTGCATGGCAATGTGACTGAAATAATGATCTAACTAACTAAGCTTCAAGCTACTCCCCACAAAAGCTTCCAGTGGTGGTATAATACCTAGACTGTCCTCAACTATTTGCGACCAATTACATCCGATAGCTGTAAATACTGGAAGCCCATGAACCCGAAGACCTGTCTGGATGGTTGTATCCTCAAGCGTTATTGTGCACTCTCCTAGTGGCATGCGAAATGTATGAGTCTTAGGCCTCCATCTTTCAACCAATGCAGTGATCAAATTTCTATCAAATGGAAAGTTAGCAAGGTGAGTAACTCTACCAAAGCCAGCCATCTCCAAATGAGATACAATCTATGCTGGAACATCGTCTATGCCAGCTGGTATGAACTGAGACTTCTTGACCCTCAACATTGGATGCTCTCGTCCATCTCAAATGTGTTCAGAGACATGTATACTTTGAAAACGCAACAAAGATGGATCCTCTGGCCCAGAATTAATTATCATACCTTGAGATGAAGATGAAGTCATCTAAATAAATAAAAATATATATTACCATTTAAATATCATTATAAACACATTAAAAATAATTATTCATGTATATAATTTGTTAAACTACTAATAATATAATTTTTAAATTAAATTTAACAAAATATAAATAGAATATAAAATGAAAAAAAAATATAATCCCAATTATATAACACCCTAAAGTTTTTTTCAAAATTGATAATAATATAACAGGTCTAACACAACAATTATGTATTTTATTTTTATGTCTCACATAAAATATCAGCATACAAATTTCTATCATATATCTATATATTAAATTTTAATGGAAACTTTCAAATTAATAATTATGCATCAAGCCAGTAACAACAACATTTCATGTTATACTTATTATCTTTTACCAATAACTAATTGGGTATTTTAAAATTAATTTTTCATGATTTAACTAAATTTTATATTTTAACTATCATAACATTTATATTTTTTTTCCTAAACATAATATTACAACTAATAATATATGAAGGATTTTTAGACTTTTTACTTAATAACAATTTTATTTCTAAATATAATTATCTTGTTATTTTATAAATATAACTAATTGTGTATTTTAAATTTAATATTTTATGATATAACTAAATTTTTATATTTCTTTATATTTTAACTATCATAACATTTATATTTTTTTTTCTAAACATAATATTACAATTAATATAATATAATTTTTCATACTTTTTACTTAATAATAATTTAATTTCTAAATATATTTATCTTATTATCTTATAAATATAACTAATTGTGTATTTTAAATTTAATATTTTATGATTTAACTGGATTTATATTTTTTTTATATTTTAACTATCATAACATTTATATTTTTTTTTCTAAACATAATATTACAACTAATAACAAAATTGCACTACTTATACATAAATTTTTTAAATATCAAGCAAGATCTACATATAATCTTTTTCATCACAAATTAACAACTATATTAATTACAGTTAACAAAATTAAATTTATCTATAATTTACAATTTATAAACAAATTACAGTTTAAAAAAATACCAAAAATTATTTTCTATATATCATTTTTGCCTTATTCTACAGTTCCAGCCAAATACACAGTGTTTATATATACATACATTCACAATATTCATAATAAATACAAAAAAAACATACTAAAAACTGAAAAAAAATTAGAAAAAAAATTACTATTCCAGTTCATCACACGAAGATCTTAAAATTAAAATTTAAATCGATTTTTTTTTTTCTAAATGCAACTCAACAAAATATCATCAATTGAACAAATTAATTCTTACCTTCCAATTTTTTACACAAGATTGCAATCGAAAACAAACTTCTTGACAAAAATTTTACAAAATCACATTGCGTTCTTGGAGATCGGCGTTAATGGAGAAAATTGATGGAGAGGAAGGGAAGAAGCCGTGAGCGGCAGCGGTTCCCAATATGCCACGTGTCAATAGCAGACTTAGTACCGTCCCAGATGTGACGATAGCCCAGTCGTTGTGTTAGAGTTGATACACTTATGATCTCGACACGTGGCGAACTTAATCCCTGACCATCCATTTCAAATTTCTATCGTCACTATTTGGCCGATTCTAATATTGTTTTTTTTTCTGCCGTTTTAAAAATCCACGTGTCAGATGATAGATTAGTATCGAATGTATGTGGTTGATAGAGTAATAAAAAATTATAAAAAAAAACAATATCGTTGGTGCATGGCCGATATTACTACTGATCTCGCAAAAAAAAGGTCCAGATAGGGAATTAGTTTGAAAATAAATATATCTTGGAAATTTGTTTTTAAATATGAATTAATTAAATAAAAAAGCCTAATCCATAAGCCTATGCCTATTTGTTAATTGTCTATTTGGAAAATTAAGAAAATTACAATCTTAATCTCGTTATTAGAAAGGCATTTGAAATTGTTTCTTTCCTTTCAAAAAAAAAATTATAAAAATAGTTTATAATGTCTTTAATAAATTTTTTATATTTCAAAATTCCGTAATTTTTTTATTTAATTCATTTTTTAACTTTTTTATTTTTAGTTTTTAAAAGTGAATTTTTATTAATAATTTGTTAAATTATTTTATTATTTATTTACATAATATTTAAATTAATTTATATAATTTAATTAAAAAGTATACACTCAAAATATCTCATTAATAATATTTTTATTAAAATTATAATTAATATTTTAAAAATTTTAATTTAAAAATATAAAAAATATAATTATATACTATTTGATAATCTATATCGATTTTATGTCGTATTATATAAATTAAGTTAAATGCTATATATATATATATAATAACAAATTACTAAATTAAGCATCATGCGAAAAAAATATTTTTTAAAATTTATTTAAAAAATTAAATCAAAGTAAATTTTTATAAATTTTAAAAATAAAAATTTTATTTAATTCATATTTTTACAAGCTAAAAGATATAATAAAAATCATAAGAAACTTGTTTAAATGATGTCTTTTAAATTTTATTTTAATATGTTTTATAATGAAATTAAATAATACGTTTTTATTTAATAGAGTTTATTATATTAATACTCAATTAAAAATTTATTAAAATGCATCTCGTATTTATCTTCTATGATTATCAATTACTTTTAGATAATAGATACGTCAATTTAGGTCAATCTAATTATCTCAGCTGACTCCCAAATGGCCAATAAATATCTTAAATATTTATTAGTCTAAGCAATCCATTATGAGCTACAAGCCAAATGAGTTGGCCATAAAATCATTTTTCTTATTTAAAAAATTACTCATTATTATTTAACTTCGTTATAAAACATATTAGAATATATTTAAAATAAATAATTTTCCTGACTTCCATCTACCATTAATCAAAGATTTTGAAATGAAATTAAAATGAAAACGAGAGAAGGGAACTTTTTTAAAAATTTTAAATTAAAAAATAAAAAAGGAATAATTAAAATTTATTTTTTTATTTTCTAATTAAATATAATATTATTTTTCCCATTCTTTATTTTCCTTTCTTCTATCCAAACAAATTAAATGGTTTTTTATTTTTTATTTTTCACCATGGGTATCTTTGAATTACCTATGTTTTCAAAATATTTTAATTGAAATAAAATAAATAAATTCTCACCTTTTTTATTTTCAGATCAAAAGAATCGTTAAATTTAATTTTATACATCAGCAATTTTAAAAACAAATATAATAAGATAAACGAGTAACATAAAAATATTTCAACAATGTATGGGCATAAATTTGTCCGAAAACAATCACGATTCTTATTGATATTTATATTTATAATTTGATGTATTTATTATTATCTAAATTAGTAAAACATGTCTCTTAAATTTAACTTTTACTTTAATTAAATTCTTTAATTTTGTTTATTTCATTGTAATCGTCCGACTTTTAAACATATTTGATTCTGTGACATCTTTCAAAAGGGACAAAAAAGAGGACGATGTAAAACGATGCGCAGAAAAATACAAAAAATGTTAATAAAAATTGATATTATAAATAAAAATAAATATGTTTAAAATACATTTAAAAGTTAGAAAACTAACTAATTTAACCTTATAATATATAATGAAAATGATTTGAAAGCAAGAAAAAGAAGTGTGAGGGGCGTATGTGACTGAGGGGCGTATGTGACAGAGACGGTGCCGACCCGAGCCCACAGAAACAAAAACACATAGCAAGTGCGGTTGCTTTCAATTCCAAAACCTCATATCGCATGCTCAGTTCTCGCACACGGATACGATGATACTGTTTTTGGAAAGAATCAACTGAGTCACCAGCTCATCACTCACTTTACCCTAGTGGATTCATTTGATCATTATCTAAACCACAGTGCATCCAGCTAAGCACACACCCATGGTGTTCCCAACACAAAACGTGCATCTACCTCCTCTTACACCTCCACTACCCTAAATATTTGCCAACACAATATCCCTCTCCTTTCACCCTTACCAAACCACCATACAAAACCCTGTCTATCAACCATTTCCTTTCTTTCCTTGTCACTCTCCCTCAACCCCACTCCATATTTGTCCCAACTTTAAGCCACGCGTTAGACACGGACCCGCTGCAATTAGACCCCCTTTTGTTTTTTTATTCAAGTGGAGTGTTTGGGATAGCTGATTAGAATATATTATTACTATTGCATATTCTTTTTCTGATTCTAATGCAGTTTTATTCATTCATATTTATCAAATATTTGTTACTATATTGAACCTATTAACTCCGTACAAAAATTTGTTACTGTTGTATATGAAATTTAACTGATTGTTTTTAATATGTTAATTTAGATTTTAAGAAATTTCATAAATAAAAAAGAAAATATTAAAAAATAAGACAGGACAAAAAATTCACAGCTAGAAACCTTATTGGCCATAATTTATTTGATACTTTTTTTCACGATGAACGCTCTTCTAAGTTTTAAAAAGATGCTGAACTTTAATTAAGTGGCTACCAAATCCATATTCAGCGTCACCACTGCCAGCCTGTCTCTTTCACTCGATATAATATTAAGCTTTTAATCATTTTTTATTAAAAAAAACATAACGCATATTTTTATGGCCTGTCTCTTTCTCTTGATAATATTTTTTTTTAAGGGTCATTCTCTTGATTATATATATTGTAATTGTAATGCTATTTTAATTATAAAATAACATAATTCATATTTTGATCATTTGTTGTCGGGATGATAATGATAACACCATTATAAATACCAACCCCACAAAATAATCTTATTATACGTATATTTTATGCTTCCAAATATTCAATAATTTTGTTAAAAAAATCTTCCAAAACTCATAAACTTGTTGAATGATTTCATGACAAGAATTGCAAAAACCGTTTTTCCTCCCCCTAAATCCATACAACATTCAAGGCATGATATATCAATCAATTATGTTTATGATAGTAATATGTACAAAATATATTAAAAGGAAGGGTACGTAACGCGTCACATAAATAATATACAAACTGAGTATTACTTATCATTTTACAGATATTAATTAACAATTGTCAAAATTGTACTAGAAATTTAAAGAATATGAATAAAGATAAATCTCACCCTTTTAAAGCTTTCTGTAAAAATTTAAAGAAAAAAAAAAGTTTGAAAGGATAAAGAAAAAAGATAAGAGGAATTAAAAAAAATTCTTTAATTTCAAAGAATTTAAAATTATGAATTTATGAAAAAAGAAGGAAGTTTAAAGGGTTTGTAAATATTCTCTTTTATCATCAAATAAATTTTTTTTTAGACTTATACTTCACTTGTGTTTAAATGTTTAACTCACGAATTTTTATAGCTACATATTTATTTTTTTATCATTAACCAATTATTTCTCTTAGAAAGCAATAGTCATGAATTTCTAATAATTCAATTTATAATTAAATTTTCTTATAATTTTTTAAGAAAATATTAATATAAAAAAGGCTTATTAAGTTAGAATTGAATTCCTTTAAATTCAAGATATATGTAAAGTGAAAATTTAAAATTTTATTTACTTTTAATTTGAATTAAATAAATATTTTACAAATATAATTAACTTAAAATTAATAGTGAATAGGTATTTTCTTTTTCACATTTTAAAGAGTTAAATCATGTTAACTTAATAGTCAATAAAAATTAGTTATTTAACTTAGTTTGTCTTATAAATTTATTAATTAATCGTAGACAATCACCAATTAATTAGTTAACATAAAATTTAAAATAATTAATTCTCAAATGTCTTAAAGTATATTAAAACAAATCTAATGAAAAGAAAAATAAATAAATTTTATATTATTTAGAAAGAAGAGTAATTATTTGGGAAAAAAAAAGTTAAACATAAGATATGACTTCATCAACTTTGTCTGAAATATACAATACAATCACTTTCTTAGTCAAAATTAAAAAAATAAATAAATTTCAGTCCACCCTTGACAATGTTATTCTAGAGAATAGGTGATACCTAAGGTAAACTGCTTTCAACAGGTAGTACATTATTACCGCTTATTATTATATATAATAATATTTTATTAAATTGAAAAGTTTGTCATACAGTTATAGACTCATGGTAGGAGCTGTCATCGAGGTGCATCTATTTTCAACCCAAAATTATCCACGATGCTCAGAAGGTGTTCGACAAAGATACACTGTTGAAATCAGTTAGTGCTATCATTGGCTCAGAACCTTCGACATCATAAGAGAGGCAACTAGAGCTGTAACGTGGTGGTACAGTGCTTGAAAAGTCCGAAAGAACTTCATTTTATTTTTGTGCTTAAATTAGTCACATTTGCCTTTGCATTCTTGAAAGTGAAAAAGGGTAAGGGGTATTGACACTCATAAGTCTAAAGCCATACACAATGGCATTAATATGAAGTTGTTAATCACCTCTTTAACTCAATTGTTCATGGGGAGTTTGAAGTTGGGAGAAGTAATCATCTCTATCATGACAATTGAGGAACTGTGGCTTTAGGAGTGTGAAGCTGTACTTGAATTTGGGTGAGCTATGTTGGTAGAATTAATGGTGACACACTTTAGACCATTGCCATCTTTAGCCACCGTGCCATGATCAACACCTTCCTATGTTGTCCAAATTTCATTTTCCTACCTACTATATATTATCTGTAATTTACATATTTGTGTTTATTGAGAGCAAGAAACGATCATCTTAATTGTCACCAACAATAATCATACTATGGATATTAAGGAGAAAAAAACTAGATAGTTTACACTCAATTTTATGCTTTAGTTACTTTTGAGTATCTTGATTACCAAAGAGCTTTCTATTCTTAGTTGGACATTTATATCATTTTAAAGGATGGAGTGCTCGTTGTAATGCTTCTTTCAACTATTTATATAATGAGATTTAGTAGTAAATAACAGATTAAAAATTCGAATTTAATTATGTCATGTAATTTATGTATTCACTTTGATGATAATTCTTAATCTATCATATAATTCATTTATTAGTCAATTTGCTTCTCAAACCCCTTTCAGATAAAATAAATTAGTGTTAATATCCTAATAAGTCTTAGTCAATATTAGAAAAACAAAATAAAATCTCTCAAAATTTTAATTTTGTATTCTCTCAAATATTAAGTAGAGAAAATAGGAGGCTGAAAAGTATATATAAGTGCACCTAAAAAGCCACCCTACAAATTAATAAACCATATTTTATCTTGTTAATTTGTAATATGAGAAACTTATGTTTTTTTTTTGTTGTTGTTAATATTACAAAAAGTTACTATTATGAGTTAAAATTACTATGTATTATATCATGGTTATAAAACAAAACATACGTATCATATGTGAATTATTGTGGAGGTCAGTTTTGTTCAATTTATGAGAAAAAAACTCTTGAACCAATAACATATCTTGGTTCAATTTGGTTTTTGATTTTTTTAATATGAATAAAAAATTTAATGAGAAATGAGTTGGTATGATTCTATTTTTTTGGTTTTAAAATATTATTTTAATTTTAAAAATTTATGGAAGAGGTTCAATTGGATTAGATTTGTAATAATTTTTTAACCAAAATAACTTCGTGTAGTGTGTAAGGTAAAGATAAATTTAAATTAAAGTTTTTTATTTAAACTACAAAAAATATTTGTTAAATATAAACTATGTTTGAGTTAAATAAAAAATAAAAAAATTGTATTATTTAATTTAAATAATATCGTTTTTATTAAAATGATACTTAAGAAATGGATTGAATTATATAACAAGTTGTTAGAATTCAAATTATGAAAGCAACTAAAAGTAATAATGATCAATATTCATTAGATTGATTTAGTTTGTATTCCAAATATATAGATTAAAGCAAGCCAACTTAATTAATTTGGTTCAATTTTATGACTTTATTATGTTGGTTTAAACCAATAATCATCCCTAAATCACTTTATTAAATAACTATAATATTATAATATGTGAAACCACCCTTGTATCTTTATCCAAAGCTCACTTAAAATACCAAACTTCTTAACTTATAATAGGTAAAAATTGTTCAACAATAATTATTTTTTTCATTTTGCTTTTACCTTCCTAAAAATTAAATCATTATATTTACACTATGAAATGCCAGCAGAAAGGTAACATGCCTTTCACTTGCTTACATGAAAATCCTTTGTGTTAGGAACATTTTTCACCAACAATGTTGTTATGGACAATAATATGAAAAGTTTCGCTTAAATCTCAATAAATTATTTCATTATCAATAGATAACTTTTTCTTTAATGTGTTATAATTTGTTTTAACGTGTTAAGATACACAATAAAAATTTATATATAATTATTTTTATTTTAAAAAATAAAATATTACAAAATTTATTACTTTAATAATATTAAATAATATAATTTTTAATAAATGTTTTTTTTAACCGACATCTTTGATTACAAGCTTAAAAAATTAATTATAATAATTTCATTTTGTACCCTCCTAATATGGACACGTTCTCTCTTATTCTTAACCCTTTTTTACCTGTACACTCACAAAGATGAAGGAATAAAAAGCACCAAAAAGGACCAACTTTTAGCCTAAAAAATCATCTAAAAAAGATCAGGTAACAACAAATGCAAATTACAGCCCCCTCTGTCGTGAAGTGAGCAAATTTGTGAAGAATTGGAATAAAAATTTTAAAAGCATATAATAACCATTGAAGTATACAAGCTTTGTGTGCAAATTTGGAATTAAAGTGTTTAAAAACAGAGTTATTATGTCCCTGTCACCACTTGCGGGGCAAATTTTGTGACTCTCAAGATCTATCATTCTCGACTCATCAACTGTTGATTATTATATTATTTAAATCACACAAAATATTAATAATTGAAAATGATTATTAAGATTTGTCCAGTTTCGCCGTTTCTTGCTTTTTCTCTCTCACCATCCTTTCAGACTCTGTTAAACCTTCTCCGTTAAGATTCTCTATTTCTCTTTGCCCTTCCATTCCCATCACCGTTCTTATTATTATCATCCCTTCCCTCTCCGTTTCATTCCCAACCTCAACCTCTTCTTCTTCCTCTTCATCTTCGCATCAAGAAGGTACTATTTCCTTAACTCTTTCCCTTTTATTCTATTCCCTTTTCTTAATTTTTTTTCCTTTTTTTATAATAATAATTATTTTTAATATTTTTCCTTGCCGCAACTAAATTCGCCTATTTATGACCCTGCTTTGTTTATCTGCCGCGAAAACGAAGAAAAAACACAAACGGATACCGTTTTCGCACCCTGTATTTTTTTTTAACATATAGTTATATACAGTATTTCATTCCAGCTTCGAGCCAGCTTTCCAATTTTAATTTTCCCTTTAAAATTTCTCGGAATCCAAACAGAACCATAATCGTTTTTCTTTTTCTTTAGGTTCAGAGAATTCTCTGATTCCGCTCACGAATTTCAATCTTCTCGAACAAGAAAGAGAAAACCTACCAGCACAGATCCATGGCGGAAGAACACCGATGCCAAGCTCCCGAAGGCCACCGTCTCTGTGCTAACAACTGCGGCTTCTTCGGAAGCCCGGCCACCATGAATCTCTGCTCCAAATGCTACGTTGATATCAGTTTGAAGGAACAAGAAGAAGCGTCCACCAAATCCACCATCGAAACCGCTCTCTCCTCCTCCGCTGCCGCCGCCATGCCTCCGTTATCCACGTCGTCTCCGTCGCCGCCGGCTGTCGATTCCGTGGAATCTGTGCCTCCGGTGGAGGTCGCGTCGAGCTCCGTGGCCGTGGGTTCGGTTTCGGTTGAACCGAACCGGTGCGCGACGTGCCGGAAGCGCGTGGGGTTGACCGGGTTTAAGTGCAGGTGCGGGGTGACGTTTTGTGGGGCCCACAGGTATCCGGAGAAACACGCGTGCAGCTTCGATTTTAAGACGGTGGGGCGAGAGGAGATTGCACGCGCCAACCCTGTGATCAAAGCGGAGAAGCTGCGGAGGATTTGATTCGATCTGAGGCGTTGGATTAGTGTGGGACCGAGAGCTTTGATGATTCGATCGCGACAGTCCACGTGTACTGCGAACGGAGAGATGTGATTATGTACTATAAATCTTATGAATTATATGATTAAGATAAAGTGCGTTTGTCTGGTCTAGAAGGGACGAATAAGTCATATTTATTTGGCTTTGCTTTTGTGAAAGGATAAAAAAGAGCATTGGATGAAAATTTGTAGGTCCACCACACACCGTCCTCTTTCTTTGAGATTGAGTTTGAGGGGTGGATGAAATGATTTGTGGTTAGTGTCTTTGGGCAACGCAGTGCGGTGGAGCGTTTTATTATGCTTTCGGTAATGAATGTCAAACTTGAGTTTCAAGTACTTCCAATCTATTCATTGTTTACATACTCAGATGTTTTTATTTTCCTTTTTAATTATCCATGTATGTGCTCTGTTTTTTCTTTTTTTAGGATACGAACGTTATCTTCAGAATCATGACTTTCAATTTTTAGGTGAATTAGGCAACATCTGTAGCGATGTAAATTTTTATAACTAATGTTTATTTATGCTGTAATGGTATATTATATGATAAAATAAAGTTAGATAATAAAGCATTAGTTACTTTTTAAATTGCGTATGATATATTAGACTTAATATAACTAATAAAAAATTAAACTAAATTTTTAGATTAATAAATTTTGATGTTTATACACTGTTATTAAACAAATTAAGCATTTCTTGAATATATTTATTGTATAAAATGTTTTATGATTGTTGTTGCGTGTTTTAGTTAATAATTTAAACTATTAAATTTATTTAATTGTTATTGTGAAATGTCACTTTTCGTGATAGTTTTTTTACATATTACACACATGTATTGATAATTAATTTGAATTGTTTATTTTATTTAATTGTTATTGTGAAAAATTGTCATTTTGCGTAATAATTAAGTATTTTTACATACTTGACGCATACAATTAAAAACAAGTATCACACTATCATGTATATTTTCCCTAAAACAAAGTATCATGTATATTGAACAAGTATATAAAGAGAGAGGTGAATTATTAAATATATAAATTAAATAAATGTTTAAGAAAATGATAAATTATTTGATAAAATATTATTTTTATTAATACTAAAGATATAAATATTTTGAATTCAGTTCCAAACTTTTGATGATTGGTTTAATTGATGAAAACTTAATTCAAGAGTAGTGTTAAATATTTCATTACATCTAACATCAATTGAATAATGAGAATATCAATTTTGGAGTGAAAAAAGTAAACATCTTCTAATTAAATTATTAAATAAATAATAAATTATATTTAATTTAGTTGGAAAATTTTGGAAGGTATGGGTCACAATACACAACCACATAAGAATTAGAATACTCGCAAAAATTATCTTTCATAAATGAAGACTCAATTTTATTTTATAAGAGTGTATGTGTAGGAAATATATGAGAAGCTTTTCTTAAAAGAGGACTACTTAATCATGCAATCATATTGAATAATTAATAATATTTTTATTTAAACATGTTAAGTGTGTGTGTGTTTTAACTATGTGAAATTCTACGCCACAAATGTTACAGGAACCATTCTGATTAGTGTGGAATAACTCATTATTCTTTTTGGTGTCTCAAATTGGGAGAAAGGTAGCAGTACTTGTAAAAATACGTTGATGCCTTGTAAGATTAAAATGCAAGAGCCACTACTCACTTATACATTGGTAGGACAAAAACAGAAAACCACTACTACAGACATAATGGTTGGGCTCCAATAAATTCACATTTTTTAAAGATGAAACGGACCTGAATTGTAGGGCTTTACCTACAGTTAATCAGAAACACACAATTTCACAAGCCTAGGCTATATAGTAATATTCCCAACGTTTTTTTTGGGTGTATTTCCCACTTAATTTTAAGAAGGAGCCGAGAGTTTGGGCCTAATGTGTCAACAGGATGAGGTTGGGCTTGAGGAATTCCCAAAATAACAATTAGAAAGTAGTTTGAAAGAGAAAAATAGAATAAAAACCCGATTCTCTCGTTTAAGAACACTAATTAGTATGGAGGAGAAAAAAAATGAGTTTGCCTCCTACAAATTACTCATATTCAATTAGAATTGTATCATGGGAACAATAAGTTTTTCTTTTATCACATTATTCATTGATTTTATTTTTTTAATTTATAAAATAATTGTATATATTTATTGTATAAAATGTCATTTTTCTATTCAATAGCAATAAAAAGAAAAAAAAATATCACTCTGACTCATTGACTGTTGCTATAGAGACTAATATGAATTTTTTTTTCCTAAAAATTCATTATGATACTTCGGTCATTAAATATTTTAACTTATTTCTCAAACTTCATTGGTCATTGAAATGGGCATTATTTAACACCGATTTCATTGCTCACCAATTAAGTTCGGTTTTTATCCATTCTCTTTCTAGTATTATAGATAGAAAGCACACAGTAATACATTTTAACAATTTAACATTTATCTAAGTATTCTTTATATCTGATAGATAGAAATTAATTTATTTTGAAGTATACAATTATTTGACAATTATACAGCATTTTGTCAATAAATCTAAATCATATATATGCCAAAGTAGAATTCAAAGGAAAATTTTGGTAAATTAAGAGGTGAAAATTGATTAAAAAAAATAGATTAATCACATACAATTTACAAAAGTTTAGTTTTTTTATGTCTTAACTTTTATTTTTATACTCATATTCCAATTTTATTTATTTTTTTATCGCATTATTATTATTTGTTGTGAATACCAATTTTTGTCTCTCAGGAATTGCCTCCAAATTATATATATATATATATATATATATATAAATATAAAATTAAATTATTTTACATAAAAAATAAAAAATTTTGAAAAAAGAGATTTAGCCTTTAGAAACAGAAATCCTACTTCAGATAAGTTTACACCCCAGCTTCTAGGATAAACTCCATACATAAGAAAGGGAAAGGTTTAGAAACTTATTTTCATGTGAAATCCTAAAATACGAAGAACTAGACCCATATAAATACATAAGTAAGAGATTTGATGAATGGAGATTTTTTCTTCTCAAAATTTTTTTAGAGAGGAGAGAACAATTTTTAGAGGGGAATGAAAAATCAAGAGAGCAAGATTTTTAGAGAGGGCAAAAAATTCTTAAAAAATTGAGAGATTTGAGAGAAGGAAGACCAAGTTTTTGGGAGAGAAGGGAACTAGTTTTTGGAGAGAAAGCAAAAAAAAAATTTAAAGAGATTTGAGTCTTACAGAAAAAAGAAAGAAAAAGATGAAAACAAAAAGGAAAAAAGAAATTATACTATTAACTACTGTTCTATCGTTTGAATCGTTATATCTGTAAGCTTATTTTTTCTTCTTCAATTTGCGTAAGCTCATTTTTTTTTTTGTTTTTTAAAATTTGCTCTCCATAAACTTTTTTCTTTTAAGTTTTTTTGATATCATGCATAGATGTATGTCTGTCACAAAAGACATATTTAAATCAACTTTTTTTTCTTTGATTTAATATTATTTTATTAAATATGTTAAATCTGATTTGATAGATGGATAAAATGTTGACATCGAGGCTTAATGTAATCGTCCCTTTTATCACTTTTTTTTATATATTTATTAATATTTACCATTATTTTATTATGTTGATTTGATTAAACGATGCAAAATATGCAGTTTGAAATCTGCTCTTACGTCTAAGCTATTGTACATCATTAATTATCTTGGTCTTATTCTACTTATTTTATTATTTTATTCTTCTGTTTAGTTATTAGGTATTGTTTTATTGGTTAGGATTAATTTTTTACTTTTATTTTTTATTTTTTTTGTTTGTGTGGACCTATCTTTATATTTTTTTCATTCTTTTTTTTTCTTTTTTTCTTCTCGTCATATCATTTTACTTATTTACTGTTTAATTTTATTTATTCTGTTTTACATTAAATGAAATACTTTTTAATTTAAATCTTCAAATTTCATTTATATTTTTTAAGCAATAATAATTAGAACAATTATGATAAAATTATTAAAATTGATTAAACATTTTTTTTATCATATTATATGTGAATTGTATTTTTATTTGTAAAATTTATTTTATTTTAACATTAACAATAAATTCTCTTTAATATTTTTTATGTTATTATTTTATTTATGTTTTAATTATTATTTCGATCATTGACCTTCTAATATTGAGTATTGATGTAATTTAAATTTATATTTATGATTTATTTCCTTTGATGCAATAAATAAATAATATAATGATGTTAATTTATAATACTAACGTATAGTTTCTCTATCGTTATGTATTATAAATTGATAAAGCTTACGTATACCTACGTTATTTAGGCTTTACACAATATTAATTATTATATGTTGTCTTTAAGTAATTAAATGACTACCTTAATAATAAATCAAGATATATTAATCTTCTATATACTAACTTATGAATAAATCAACTAATTTAAATTTAGATGATTTTATTAACGAAATAATTTAAAACAATTTATAATGCTAAATTGTAGTGATTCTAGCTTTATGTGTTATAAATTATCAAAAAAATTATGTGTACCAACGTTATCTTAGGTTTTATATGATATAAATATATCAAATAAAAATTTTAATCTTTTAATTAAATAAGTATCTTCTTTAATTAATTCAAATAAATTTCTTTCATATTTTAAAATTTTTTAAGGCATACTTCTAATTTTGATAAATTAAATAATTAAACATTTATTTACTTATTTATACAAATTTCTACAATATTGATGTGTAATTTACATTTTCTTTCATTATTCAATAAATTATAAGAAATTTATGTATAACTTACATTATTTTAAATTCTCTTTCAACATTAATTATAATTTAAAAATATAAATTCAAATATTTCATTTACAAATAAAAATATATTTTAACGATTTACAATATGGTTGTATGATTTTCCTTTACTTTCTGTATTATTTCTCGTAAGATACGTGTATAACCACGTTATCTCATATCCTAAATATTATTCTATAAATTAATCTCAAAATAAATCTTTTTTACTAAACTTAATTTTTATCAACCAACTTCGTAATTTTTAGATAGAACTACATGACTTTGAGTTTCCATTGTACCTGAAGATACGTAGGAGCGAAAATTGTATCTATCAAGTCAAAATAATTTTTAAAATAATTTTTTTCTTTTAAGATACCTAGTTAATATTTTAATAAATAATTTTTTATTTTTCTAAAATAAAAATAATTAATGTTTAGAGGTTAAATAAATATTTTTAAAATTAAAATAAATTTACACAATTAATTTAATGTAATCGTTTTTAAACGGGTGCTAATACCTTTCCTACACGTAAATGACTCTCCAACTAATTTTTAGTTTCAAAGATCATATTATTTTTAAGATTTTTTAAAATTTTCTTAAAATAAATTTTGGTGGCCACTCTTCTAATATTTTTTAAAACATTTTTGCCATATGGTTGCGACCATCCGATTACGACATTTGTCATTTTTGTTCCAATTCTCTAACTATATACTATGTGTTGGAGTGTGATTTTTTTTTCCTCTGAAAATTAAAAAGGCCAGTGCAGGCTTGTGCCCTACGTGCTATTTCATCAAGGCGCGTGGCAAAGATGTATCCATAGCCCCTTCCATTCTAATTTCTTCAAGGCTATGAAATTAAGGGTCAAGTATAGCACAGTGAAGTTTGAGGTTTATTTCTATGTACTATAGCTTTTTTTTCTAGTAGTCTTTTTATCACATAATGCGAAGAAGCAAATCTTGATCAGAACAATTAATAAATTTGAATAATGTACACTAGTGAAGTAATACCTTTTAGACAACATGAACACGCACGCACTACAAATAACTAATAAATTTTTCCTCAGAACCCAGTAATTATAATCTTTTGATTTGAAACGGGTTGAGAAGAGGAAATATCCTAGCTTTGTAAAGATAAATGCAAAATGCTATATACGAACTAACTAAAGGGACATCTCTTAATTATTTCTTGGTGGGAGTGCATCATCAAGTAGGTATTGCTATTGCTCCAAGTTGAGCTTTTCAGAGCTCTTCATGAGGAACCTCCCAGCATGATTTTGAGTTGCTTAAACTCTCTATCCAAACACCGTCAGCAAAAAATGCCTGGGTGTCATTGTTGCGGTGCCATGACCAATATGCATGTGTTTCGTTCAGTATTCTCAGTCTTCCATGACCAAAGCTTGGCTCCCGATACAACGACAGCGGGCTTGTTGGCTTCTTAAACCTACTCAATAATCAACACATGCATAATTATATATATGTATTATATATCAAGGACAACGAATATAATGTACATGAGTTTAAGTAATCCTTGTACTCTGTTATTAAATGAAATTTTAATTTATATAAAAAAAAAATTCAGGACTTAAATAAGCTATGTGTTTCCTGTCCCATCCACAGTTCTTTAATTAAAAATTAATATTTCAAAAAATATAATATGTAAAATTTAGAGGAAGGTTAATAACACTCTTCATATATTTTATATAATGAATTAATTAATTTTTTAAAAAGTTAAAAAATATTTTAAAAATTATCAATTAATGAAGTATTTTGATTTTTAAAAAGTAAATTAATCATATGAAGTATGTTAAGAATATGTTTTTTTAAAAATATATAACAAGCATTTTTCTAATTTATTTTAACTATTTTTAACTTTTTAAGCAACGGTAAAAATGCTCTAAGTAAAAATTATAAAAATCTAAACTTCATTAGTACAAACATTAAGCAAAAAGTTAATCTAGGTATCTCAGTAATCTCACGATAATGCAAGTCCCTCGCGGTTTCCCCCGTCTCCAATTGTCACGTACAACGGACCACACGAATCAGCCTTATTGTCATAAATTCGAGTCTGCAGTTAATCAGAAAATAGTTAGAATTTTTTTTAAAAAAATATCATGCAAACGAGGAAAAAAAAAGAAGAAGAGATAATATTAACATGACATACAAATCGTTCGTAGGCATGAACATGTCCAGCGAAAACCAAGTCAACGCGCGCCTCGTAAAGCAACTCCTCCATGGCTTGTCTCATGCTTTCCCCTTCACCTTGATGTGCCTCATTAGTATTATACCAAGGTGCATGCAACAATGCAATTACCCAAGGCGTTCTCTTCCTATCAACGGTAGCTAGGTCGGATTGAAGCCACTTATATTGGTGGGAATGGGCATCAAAATCAGTGTAAGAGCCCAACATGATGACATGGGTGCTTGCAATCTCAAATGAGTAATATAGGTTTGAGGTGGATCCACTCTCTGTGTAAGGCATGGGCCAGCGAGCATTGTAGGCCTTGAAACCGTGTGGGTGAAGAATGGGGAAACTCTCAATCTCGTGGTTTCCTTCGGTTACCATCCATGGCCTTCGACTAGCGTATGGTTCCACTAAACGACCAAAGGAGTCCCACAAAGGTTGTTGAGAATCCGCATAGGATAGATCTCCCGGTAATAGAAACACGTCGTAGTCTTTGCTATCAACGTGCTTCAGTGTTGATGTCGTCCATTCAGTTTGTCCCAAGTCACCTATATGTACACATTAATATGTATCTTAGTTTTTATATTGAGCAATGCTAGCAAAAATGTGACTAATTAACTCGAGAGGTTCATGATCGCTTATGATACCACGTAAAAGTATTTTCCATCGCGACCGTGTATTAAGTTTCAAATTGCCAAAATAAATGTTGTCAAATGAATTAATTAAAGTGAATTGCGTATGCATATACCGTGATTTAATTAGTGATAAGGATATATCAATATCCTCTAGTTGTTTTGTTATTTTTACACGTGAAAACCCCCTTCTGAACTACACATGAAAATTGTGTGTATATATATATAAGCTCATTATATCAATTGATTAATGACTAACGACCTGTTTAAACAAATTGATACAATGAATAATGAACTCGTTATTACTCTCTGCTTTTAAAATTCAAAAGCTTTTGATGCCTTGGATTAACAAGGATACACTCTCTTTATCTTAAACAAAAATAAAAATAAAAATTTAAACTATGATAATATATCTAAATAACAATCCATGTTGAAGTTTATATTTTTTTAATAAAATCTTCTCACCTTGTTGAATAACATGATACGGTTACCTTTAGGGAAAGAAGTAAAAAGACACTACTTTATTCAAATATAATTAGTGGGTCGTATAACTAGTCATGCTAGTATCTTGTTTGATAAAATTTCTTTCTTTCCCTTTCTAAGATGACGTATTATTTTAATTAACAATATGAAAAGATCTAAACATTTTTTTGTTGATTTTATCATGAATGGTTACCGTTTGTACTCTTCTATATATCTAAAGTATACTTTATACTGCAAAAGATCGAAATTCGTTAGTGAAAGCGATTCTTGTGCTAATTTTGTCAAATGCCTACCCTCGTGACCTTATTCTTTCTTACGGTGACCTTTGCGTTGGTTTGAAGCACTCATCAACTCCCTCTCTAAGTCTGCCTAATTAAACTCAGGTACAACTATAAAGGAGAACACAGCACAATAATACCCACCCAAAATGATACAAACTAGGAAATGAAATTAAAACAACGGAAACTACCGTATACGACATATACCATTAAAAAATGAAACTAAAAAGCCAAGTGCAAATCGTGATGCTAAAGAAAGAAGCACTTACCGACGACAACAAATTCAATAGGCAACTTCTTTGGAGGTGTCTTGAAGGAAAACTCAGGACCCGATCCTCCGCACCTGTAGTAGTAAGTAGTGCTTGGTTGAAGAGGCCCAATTACCACATGGTGGATCTTGCCCGATTTGTAGAAGAAATAATGGTATGAGGTGTATTCGCCCGTTGCTATTGTGCTATATTCCCCTTCCATTGTTCCATACTCCACCAGAGATTCTGTGTGCTTGTCTTCAGTTATCCATGACACTCTCATATGATCTTTCCCCACCAGTGAAATGTGCACCTTAATTGACACATAAAAGACTATGATTCATGAACCATAATATGTAAGGGGAACTTTCTGCGTACAACAAGTTTATCTCCTTTAATCTTGAGACTATTTTTAAGATGTGTGTATATGAAAAAAATATGAAATAAGATAATTATGTAGTACCATTTATTTGATATTCAAATAATACAACTGTGTATATAATAATATAACAAAATGATATGTTAACACACCTAAATTTTTTATGTTAAATGGGTAGAGAAAGAGAGATAATGAAGAAAAGAAACAAGAAAGAGAGAAAAAATAAACAATGTGATAGAAAAAGAAGAAAGAGATAGAAAGAAAAGAAGGATGAAGAACGGATGCAAGAAAAAGTGAGTGTAGAAGTATATATAAAAAAAAGTATAATATACATGCATGATTGATTTATAATGAACCTGTTGAGGATCAGAATCTGAGCGTTTGTGGGGAGTGTAGATGAACTGGCCAGAAGGCTGACGAGAAAAATCATTCTCTTGTGATTGTAAGGTCTTTGGGAGCAACAGGAAGCATAGGAAGTGAAGGAGGAAAGGAATCACAGCGAGACACTTGTTACATTTTGCCATCACTTTTTTCTCTTTTGGTTTGGTGTGTTTATTGCTTCAACAAGTTGTAGATGTAAAGTGAAGATATAGCATACCTTTAAGAATACGGAGGACCAAAATTTAGGTATATATAAAGGGGTTTTAGACAGAAGGGGTGAAATAAAATAAATCAAAATAATTGAATTTTGTGGGGAGGGATGTGCTTAGCGTGAAGAAAGTCTCTACCAAAAATATATATACATCGGATAATGTTTCAGCAACTAATGACTACAAGGAAGGTCGTCTTATGTATCTTTCATGGTTTGCTTCTCCGCTTCTCTTCGACACGCACGCTCGTGGTGCCAAGTGCCACCAAAAAAATTTATCTACTTATTGTTATTTTATTATTTAGTTTATTGGTTAGCATAGGTGATATACACACGGAAATGAAGATTATTTGTTTATATAGACTAAGTTTTTGGGATTTTGAAGTTAGTATATTCTTGTGAGCTCGTTATATCGGAATATCTTTGGAATATACTTGCGAAGAAATTACGGAAAAACTGATCCAAGGCAACGGTGTCAGTAAACAAATGTTTGTTTTTCTAAATATATGCTCAAATATACATAAATATTTGAAATCCAATGTGGAAATTGGAAACATGCGAAATCTTTATATACAAAAAAAAAACATTATATTTTTAATAAGCAAAAGTCAATTATGAAATCATATATGACTACGCATGAAGGGTAATAAAAAAAAGTATATAAAATAAGTGAAGAAAAATTAAAGGGAAAATCAGAGTTGACCTTGTGAATTTTTGGGCAGCTTGGGCCTAGATGCTTTGTTATTTAATAAATTATAGAAAAGATCATTTGGGCATAGAGAAAAAACAGAATAGTTCTGGGTTGGCCCTTGGACAAATTTTGCTGAGTACTGTCATTCGGGCTAGGGTGGGCTCTAATGGTAATTTTGGGCGTGGGTCTGCGACATCTTCTTTTTAATTTTTGTTTTGTTTGATTTTTTTATTTGTCATTTGTGAATAATAGTAATAGTTGACAAAAAATAAAGTGAGGAGTTAAAATGCCGTGGTAGCCTTATTACTACTATTGTTGTTGTGTGTGAAATAAACATTATTTAACATTTTTATATCCAATTTTTTTCTTTTATTTCTTGGCTGTACATTCAATTTTCTTTTATCAAAATAAAATAAAAGACTTTAAAATTCACACAACAATTTGTAACAGTTTATGTATAACTTTTTTTTAAAAAAACCTTGTATAATGTGAAGTTTTCCTCCTTTCTTTTTTAATTTGAATAAAAAATTGGTCCACATGCAAACTATTAAAAAATTGATTAGTGGGTGTGGTTAGTTAGGATGTCGGCAACCACTTGAGTTAATTATTTTCCCCACTTTATCATTCTAATTAGGTGTTATTTATTTTTGTTGAATCCGTGTAAGCTAGTATAAAAATAGCTCTTGTATTCACTCTCAAAGCATAATGACATTTTTACTTGTATTGATAACACTTCCGCGTTATCTTGCCAATATTTTCTTTAATTTTCACTGTCTCTTAGATCTGTTTCCTCAAAACCAAGTTCGACATTATCTTACCAACTCAACCTAAATTTCTTACATCTTAATGATAATCAGTCACTAATTTTAGTGCTATTAAAAAACCATACATAATTACTCGCTCTTAAAAGGTAGTTTATAATTAAAAAAAACTACTCAAACCTTACCAAAAAAAAATTCTAATTATATTTTTAACCAATAAATAACATCTTATAATAGGTGCCACCATTACAAATTAAGTTAGAAACTGCCATGCATGCAAGACATGATAAACAAAGGTTTATTGATAAAAGTCTTGAGTTTATTGATAAACAAATCCATGAAGCATGAAAAGGTACAAGCCATGAAATCCTATAGAGAAATATATTGAACGTGTCACTTTTTTTACAAGATCCATTGAGCAACATGCTAAATCCATTCAAAACCAAGTTAATTCGGAGGAAGAGATGATTACGAAGACATTCTCACTCATGACTTGTTTCTACGTTAAAACTAAATTTGGAGGAAGAGATGGATCCGTAAACACACAAAGTGTATAGAGAAAAAAAAAAAATTAAAACAAAGAGAAGTAAGTAAACGACGAATGTTTGCTTGAATTAATTTTTATTTACATGTTAAAGGCTATTTATTTATAACTAGTAAGACTTAAACACATCTAAAATATATTGTAAACATGACGCTTTCATGTAGCTCAACTTTAACACAGTGAAAGCGAGGAATTGTAGCAAATCTTAGTGCTTTATTTATTTTTGTGTTATCTAAAAAAACACATATTTTTTGGTTGTGTCCCATATGTTATTGTGCATCTCTAACAATGGACATTTTATGAGAAACATAAATTATTTTGGTACAAAAATATGTTTGTTTGCATTTTCATTGGTTCTCGTCCTTTGTTTTTTTCTTTTTTGCCTTCCAAATACTAACATCATTTTATCTTTTTCTTTGTTAACTACCATGTGTTTAATATATCACTCCATTATATTTTATACTTTTTGCATAAATAATATATTTTTTAGAATTTTTTTTTATTCAGATTTCTTGAATTGACTTTGACCTTAGCAATATACAAGAATCTTTCATTTCACTGAAGAGGTCCAAGGCATGGAATTAGTGGTTAATTGGGTCAACCAAACAGTGGAAACATGCTGCATAATGCATGAATATAACAAATGCTAATGTTCCTTAATTTCATGCTCTCAGGTGTAAAGAGCGTTTCAGAAGTTTTCTCCTCTTGTAATACATTTACTTTATTCAATGTATGGCACATATACCAAGTTAATCTCTAAAGATCAAATGAAAGAGATTTTTAATCTTAGCTTATGTTTATTAACAGAATAATTTAAAGAGATAATTGATTATTTTTCAAAATTTATCACGTTGAGCTGATAAAAATAAATGATTGTTTCTTCAAAATAAAATAGAGCAAATATACACCTAATATTCATCTATTCTAATGTAGGGATCATTTTTCAGTAATTTTGAAACTAAAAGGTTCAAAACCAAATTTTTAAATTGTAAAACCTAGAGCTAGAATTTAGAAAAATATAAATTTATTTTAATTATTTTTTTATCAAATTAAGAGACAGTTTAAATAAATAAAATTTAACAAACACTTCTAAAAGAAGAAAATAAAAATTGTTAAAAAGTTAAATATGGAATTTGTTTAAAAAATAAAGAAACATAATTTAATTTATAAAAAATATTTAATTTATTTTCAAATAATTGCTGAAAATTTATCTAAATTACCTAAGCTCTAATTTATTTTGGTTTTCATACTTTCAAAGAAAAAAAGCACACGTCATAATATAAGTTTTAAGTTTAAATTAATTTAATAAAAGATCATAATATGAAATCAGTTTTATCTAACTTTAAATTAGATGGCTTAATTTGAACTTTGAAGTGTATTAAGACTAGCGATTTCTGCTTCATCTCTTATCCATGAAGCGAAATTCTGAAACCACATCAAAGGTGAGATACGCGGTTAAAACAATTTCATTACTAATGATTTTTTAGGTGCATTTTTTTTAGCGTCGAATAATAAGCGATAATTGAATGCTACAGAAGAAGAACTAGCAAATCCGTAAAATTGTTTGTATATTTTTTTCTTATCTAACAAAATCTCACATATAATAAATTGATTATAAGAGAATAAAGAAATCATAAAAAGATGAAATAATATGAATCGTAAAAGATTTATATATATATATAAATAAAAATATGTGAATAAAGAGTTTTAAACATAAAACAAAAACTATTATTTATTTGCGTATTGAACAATTTAAGCTACCGTGCGCGTATCTTTAATCGTTGGCAAACGGCATTTTTATAATGAAGCCATTGACTGTGAAATCCCAACCACAGTTGAAGCCATACACATGGGCAGTGATATTATTACTATTTGCAGTTGAATTTTGGTTTATAAGTATAATGCATTGCTGCTATTGATATGTCATTCATTAATTGATAGATTGCAATAATTCAATTGTGGTAATTAAAGGCATTTTGCCGCCTTTTTATGCATCCTAAAACACGAACAAATTTCCTTTTAATACCATAACGATGTTTGTGAATAAAGTCAAATATGTTGATGTTCTTCATTGTTTGTGATTGCACTTTTGACTGTGATGTGACGTTAAATTTTGTGAGTTGACAACTAGTTTTCTCCACAAAATGTAATTGGATAGAAGTTGTGACTCTCAGAGATTTGGTACCATGAGTTTGAACCTTTGAGGGGGTATTAGATTTATTCTCGGTGATTTGATTTTTACTTTATTTTTTTACTTCAGTTTTTATTGGTATTATTAGGTGATTTAGTTAGAGTTTAAATTTAAGTCAATATCTTCATTATCTTTTATTTAATTTTTCATCCAACCATTAAACTATTACAATTAAAAATTATTTTAAAATTGTTAATGTTTTCAAAATATTTAATAGATAGAATTTTGTCCATTTCCTATGAAAAATAAAGTGCAACTATTCTGTTGAGTCAACGCTTTATAATTTAATATGCAATACAACTTATTTGTTGATAAATTTATTAATAGGGGAGTTTTAAATTAATTTAAATTTAAAAACTAATCCTTTTCTCTATAGTTATTTTAGTAAATATTAAAAATTTAATTTTTTATTGAAAAATAGTTATTATATATATGTTGGTACAAGTATTTATAAATAAAATTTTAACAATAAAATCGTCATTAGTGACTTTTAAAGATTTAAAATAATAATAATAATGTCAATCCACTAAAAAAATTGTCATTTTTTTTAAAATTATCATTGATGATTGAATCTGTAAATAATATATTACTTATTTATAACAAATTATAAACAAAGAATAGTGAAGATTTTTAAAAGTAAAATGTGATCATTTATTGAGAAAAAAAAGAGTATTTTAATATTGATATATTTTAATAATAATATTCTTACAAACACTTGCGAAAGTGTTATTTAACATAAAAATTAACATTTGTGTATATCACAAAAAATGAATTTGTAAAACTAAAGTATTTGTTTGATCAATACGTTGAA